AGGACTGATGGTTGCTGATAATGGACCTCTGTACGCCTATGTAGATATTCCATTAAAAATCAGCCGTTTCCAACTACAATAGCCATTTACAACATTAACAATGTCTACACTGTATTTCTGATCAATTTGATGTTATTTTAATGGACAATTTTTTTTGCTTTTCTTTCGAAAACAAGAAAAGTAGTGTATATTTTATATTCAAATAGCCACCCTTTGCCTTCATGACAGCTTTGCACACGTTTGGCATTCTCTCAACCAGCTTTATGAGGTATTCACCTGGAATTCATTTCAATTAACAGGTTGCCTTAAAAGTTAATTTGTGGACTTTCTTTCCTCCTTAATGCGTTTGAGCCAATCAGTTGTGTTGTGACAAGGTAGGGAGGGTATACAGAAGATAGCCCTATTTGGTAAAATACCAAGTCCATATTATGGCAGGAACAACTCAAATAAGCAAAGAGAAATGACAGTCCATCATTATTTTTAGACATGAAGGTCAGTCAATACGGAACATTTCAAGAACTTTGAAAGTTTATTCAAGTGCAGTCGCAAAAACCCTCAAGCGATATGATGAAACTAGCTCTCATGAGGACCGCCACAGGAATGGAAGACCCAGAGTTACCTCTGCTGCAGAGGATAAGTTCATTAGAGTTACCAGCCTCAGAAATTGCAGCCCAAATAAATGCTTCGCAGAGTTCAAGTAACAGACACATCTCAACATCAACTGTTCAGAGGGGACTGTGTGAATCAGGCCTTCATGGTGGAATTGCTGCAAAGAAACCACTACTAAAGGACACCAGTAAGAAGAAGAGACCTGCTTGGGCCAAGAAACACGAGCAATGGACATTAGACCGGTGTAAATTTGTCCCAAATTGTCCCAAATTTGAGATTTTTGGTTCCAACCGCTTTGTCTTTGTGGGATGCGGTGTGGGTGAACGGATGATCTCCGCATGTGTACAGTGAGGGAAAAAAGTATTTGATCCCCTGCTGATTTTGTATGTTTGCCCACTGACAAAGACGTGATCAGTCTATGATTTTAATGGTAGGTTTATTTGAACAGTGAGAGACAGAATAATAACAAATACATCCAGAAAAATGCATGTAAAAAAATTTATAAATTGATTTGCATTTTAATGAGGGAAATAAGTATTTGACCCCTCTGCAAAACATGACTTAGTACTTGGTGGCAAAACCCTTGTAGGCAATCACAGAGGTCAGACGTTTCTTGTAGTTGGCCACCAGGTTTGCACACATCTCAAGAGGGATTTTGTCCCACTCCTCTTTGCAGATCTTCTCGAAGTCATTAAGGTTTCGAGGCTGACGTTTGGCAACTCGAACCTTCAGCTCCCTCCACAGATTTTCTATGGGATTAAGGTCTGGAGACTGGCTAGGCCACTCCAGGATCTTAATGTGCTTCTTCTTGAGCCACTCCTTTGTTGCCTTGGCTGTGTGTTTTGGGTCATTGTCATGCTTGAATACCCATCCACGACCCATTTTCAATGCCCTGGCTGAGGGAAGGAGGTTCTCACCCAAGATTTGACGGTACATGGCCCCGTCCATCGTCCCTTTGATGCGGTGAAGTTGTCCTGTCCCCTTAGCAGAAAAACACCCCCAAAGCATACTGTTTCCACCTCCTTGTTTGACGGTGGGGATGGTCTTCTTGGGGTCATAGGCAGCATTCCTCCTCCTCCAAACAGGGTGAGTTGAGTTGATACAAAGAGCTCGATTTTGGTCTCATCTGACCACAACACTTTCACCCAATTCTCGTCTGAATCATTCTGATGTTCATTGGCAAACTTCAGACGGGCCTGAATATGTGCTGTCTTGATCAGGGGGACCTTGCGGGCGCTGCAGGATTTCAGTCCTTCACGGCGTAGTGTGTTACCAATTGTTTTCTTGGTGACTATGGTCCCAGCTGCCTTGAGGTCATTGACAAGATCCTCCCGTGTAGTTCTGGGCTGATTCCTCACCGTTCTCAAGATCATTGCAACTCCACGAGGTGAGATCTTGCATGGAGCCCCAGGCCGAGGGAGATTGACAGTTATTTTGTGTTTCTTCCATTTGCGAATAATCGCACCAACTGTTGTCACCTTCTCACCAAGCTGCTTGGTGATGGTCTTGTAGCCCATTCCAGCCTTGTGTAGGTCTACAATCTTGTCCCTGACATCATTGGAGAGCTCTTTGGTCTTGGCCATGGTGGAGAGTTTGGAATCTGATTGATTTGATTGCTTCTGTGGACAGGTGTCTTTTATACAGGTAACAAGCTGAGATTTGAGCACTCCCTTTAAGAGTGTGCTCCTAATCTCAACTCGTTACCTGTATAAAAGACACCTGGGAGCCAGAATTATTTCTGATTGAGAGGGGGTCAAATACTTATTTCCCTCATTTAAAATGCAAATCAATTTATAACATCTTTGACATGCATTTTTCTGGATTTTTTGTTGTTGTTATTCTGTCTCTCACTGTTCAAATAAACCTACCATTTAAAATTATGGACTGATCATTTCTTTGTCAGTGGGCAAACATACAAAATCAGCAGGGGATCAACTACTTTTTTCCCTCACTGCATTTCCCACCGTAAAGCATGGAGGAGGAGGTGTAATGGTGTGTGTTTGCTTTGCTGCTGACACTGTCTGCGATTTTATTTAGAATTCAAGGCACACTTAACCAGCATGGCTACCACAGCATTCTACATCGATACGCCATCCCATCTGGTTTAGGCTTAGTGGGACTATCGTTTGTTTTTCCAACAGGACCATGACCCAACACACCTCCAGGCTGTGTAAGGGCTATTTTACCAAGGAGGAGAGTGATGGAGTGCTGCATCAGATGACCTGGCCTCCACAATCCACCGATCTCAACCCAATTGAGATGGTTTGGGATGAGTCAGACCGCAGAGTGAAGGAAAAGCAGCCAACCAGTGCTCAGCATGTGGGAACTCCTTCAAGACTGTTGGAAAAGCATTCCAGGTGAAGCTGGTTGAGGGAATGCCAAGCGTGTGCAAAGCTGTCATCAAGGCAAAGGGTGGCTATTTGAAGCATCTGAAATATAAAAATGTATTTTGATTTGTTTAACACTTTTTTGTTTACTACATGGTTCCATATGTGTTATTTCATAATTTTTTATGTCTTCACTATTATTCTACAATGTAAAAAATAAAGAGAAACCCTTGAATGAGTAGGTGTGTCCAAACTTTTACTGGTAGTGTACGTACTGTCACTGTGGGGATGACTTCATCGATGCACTTATTGATGAAGCCAGTGACTTATGTGGTGTACTCCTCAATGCCATCGGAAGAATCCCGGAACATATTCCAGTCTGTGCTTGCAAAACAGTCCTGTAGCTTAGCATCCGCGTCATATGACCACTTCCTTATTAACCGAGTCACTTGTGCTTCCTGCTTTAGTTTTTGCTTATAAGCAGGAATCAGGAGGATAGAGTTATGGTCATGTTTGCCAAATGGAGGGCGAGGGAGAGCTTTGTACGCGTCTTTGTGTGTGGAGTAAAGGTGGTCTAGAGTTGTTGTTTTTTAACATGCTGGTAGAAATTAGGTAGAACGGATTTAAGTTTCCCTACATTAATGTCCCCGGCCACTAGGAGCGCTGCCTCTGGATGAGCGTTTTCCTGTTTACTTATGGCCTTATACAGCTCATTGAGTGCAGTCTTAGTGCCAGCATCGGTTTGTGGTGGTAAATAGACAGCTACGAAAAATATAGAAAACTCTCTTGGTAAATAGTGTGGTCTACAGCTTATCATGAGATACTCTACCTAGATTTTGTGCACCAGCTGTTGTTTACAAATATACACAGACCCGCCACCCCTTGTCTTACTAGAGTCGGCTGTTTTATTCTCCCGATGTAGCGTATATCCCGCCAGCTGTATGTTATCCATGTCGTCGTTCAGCCACGACTCTGTGAAACATAAGATATTCGTTTTTAATGTACCGTTGGTAGGATATCCTTGATCGTAGGTCGTCCATTTTGTTTTCCAATGATTGTACGTTGACTAATAGGACTGATGGAAGAGGCAGATTACTCACTCGCCGTCGGATCCTTAGAAGGCACCCCGACCTACATTCACGATATCTCCGTCTCTTTCTCATGCGAATGACAGGGATTTGGGCCTTGTCGGGTGTCTGTAGAATATCCTTTGCATCCGACTCGTTGAAGTAAAAATCTTATTTTACTCTCACAAGTGAAACTGGTGCCCCCAGTGCTATGTAGACATATGTAGAACCACATTTGGAAAAACTTTGAAAATACAAATAAAACATTATTGTCTTCAAGTTGGGATTACGAGAATTAGGCTATATTAATAAAAAGTCTTGATTTACAATAAACTGGACCTACATAAACAATCCATTGAATGTTTATGGGAACTGACCCTGAATAAGAAACTTCCTTCAGCTTTTCAGTACATTGGTCTACTTTCCGCTCCGCTCTGCACTGCTCTGTACGGCTCCACTACAAGGCTTACATTGACTGGACACACCTCTGGACTGGAAGCCCCCAGAAAGCAAGCCCCTATGTTTCTGTATTTTTTTACGTCCCTGTGTTTATGCTTCCTGGAACCAGCTGTGGGATTTTATGACATGTTTACCCTCCCTTGTTCCCCTTGTGTGATCTACACTGAATGCCCACAAGTGGTGTCGTCTCTGAACTCTGACTCCAGACCCACAATCCTCTCTTTTAGTGTCATGACTAATGTTGTATCAGGGCAAATAGTTTGCTATTTGAATCCAAAGACAGTTATTTTAGTCATTCTGGACCTGTTTGGATCCTTGGATCCAATTATCATGCAACCACATAAGAGACAAACCCACATATTTGAGAATTATAGAATTATCCATGTTCTGGAAAGCAGCATTTCTTGTAGTAGACATTTGTCACAATTGGCTGGCAGGTTTTAAACACTTTGGTATAATGGCTTCAGTATGCCTTAATTAAGAATCCAACAGTATGATGAATTTAACATTTTTAAAATATATTTCTGTCTTTCTTTGTAGGAATATGATTAAGTCCTTCTACACATCTAGCCTTTTGTTAGATGTCCTGTCAGTTTTCGGCGAGTTATCGGAGGAGGTAAGTCATCAATTAGGAATACCCTTATCCTACCCTGTAGGGCCTATAGACTATATTGTAAATAAATCTACCTTTTTATTTCAGAACATTAATAAATTTACACTGTGTGAAGTAATGTGTGTGTGAAGTATAATGAACTGGCTATCCACATTTCCATCCTTACATCAGTCCACGGCTGCTCTCAAAACCATAGAAAATCCAAGACATGGAAAGAATAGGGAAATAGTGCGGACTGTAACATATAGACTCTCCAGCCCAGTCTAGGACCGTAGACAACTAGACACTAGTAGACCGACAATCTCAGCAGCAGAGGCCTTTTTAAAGCTTCTCCATGGGTCTCCATGGCCACAGATGTCTTTTCTACTTAGGGAAGTGGACTGTGGCAGATGACAGACAATGTTTCATTGAATGGCTGCTCTCCCTAAGGGCCAGGCATTTTCCCGCTGTAGAAAGCTCATTGGACAGGCTGCTTTAACACGGAGCTTTCTCTCTGTAACACTAACCCAGACAAAGGAGCCTCAGAGTCCCCCACTCGCTGATTACTGGAGATACGTTTTATACAAAGCACGTCACAATGCATTATGGGAGATTGGATTTCTTACAGAAAAAGGGACATTTCAGCACCAGAGAGGAGTGCCAAAACTTTTAGTGGATGGTGATCTAGAGAGTTTAGCAGATTGTATGTGAGCCTGTTAAATGGAGTGTGAGCTCTAATTGTAGCTATCATCAGTCCTAAACTTTCCCTCAGGTCTAGTATATTGTTATCTCCAGGGGTAGATTAGATTAGAATTATGATTGTGTTAGTTGCTTTAGAAATTAATTGACTTTTTATGTCTTCATTGTACCCTGTGCATGTGACTAAAGTCATCTAATTAATTGCGCTAAATCAGAAACAACCTGGATTTACTTGTTGACTAAAGTGAATCTGTAGTTTAGTAAAGTTTTGTACTAGATCCTCCAATGAATTTCCAGTTAATTAATCCACAGATAAGATTACCAGGGAGTGAACTTTTTAAATGAGGTCCATAGAACTTCTAATGAATTTTGTGACCTGGGTGTTAGAAACCACAGCAATTTCTTCATCCTGTCGCCATCCCTCCCTCTACCGTAAGCCAAAGGAAAATCCAAACAGTCGTATTTTAAGCCTCTTCCTCCAGTCGCCATTGTTTAACTAATTGCTTTTAATTCACTTCTCTTATCTTGATTATTTCTGTGTTATTTACCTCCTCCCTCCCTCCTTACTCTTTTTCAGAACATCCAGCACAGGAAGTATGCGAGATGGAAGGCCACCTACATCCACAACTGTCTGAAAAGTGGTGAAACCCCACAGGCTGGCCCTGCTGGCTATGAAGAGGAAACATATGGTAAGGACTGATATTCTATCAGCACTGCCACCCAAACAAACTATGACCCGTTAAGAAAATACCTCTTCTCCTGGCCTTTCCTTCAGGAGCCTTTAGACCTGCTTTCCTCCGTCTGGGTGACGACGTGCTTCAGTCAGTAAAGGTTGGCTGTCATTGTGTGCCTTATCGAGTCTGAGAGTGCAGCAGCGGAGGCTTGCAGTGGCTTTGTGTGTGTGAGAGAGCTGATATTTGTTTCATGGTTTTTTCAACCCCTTATCCTTAGAGGGTCAGGAAGGGCCCAGAGTAGGTAGTTTTACCCTGTGGCTGTGGTGTAAGAATTATGTAATGTTACAAAATCTTTGGCAAAATCTTTGGATTGAAGGTTGCAGCTGACATCCACTGGTTAAGAACAGTCTTAAAATGAGTTTGTATGATTGTGTTACATACATCAGTCTTATGTTGGTTTGTGTGCGAGGGCCCATGTCTGTCTGTCTGTCGGTGTACATTTTAACACCCTTTAGAGACTGAGACTCGCAGAGTAACTACATCTCGGACCAAGTACTGAGTGGTTGGCCAGGCGGTACAGATGCCCCAGTTGAGCAGTTTCCTGAGATGAGACAGGACAGGACAGGGCTGGGGGACTGGGGGACCCTCCGAACCACCTGTTAGAGGGTGATATGAAGCCGACCATGGCGCTGCAGATGGCAGAGCAGTTAGATCACTGTGCTCCTCTCTGAACATCTGTTGGGCGTGATACAGTACGTTTGACCTGAGCACCACATGTCAGCGATGAAGTCATCTCTAGAGCCCTCCACTCTACTGCGACCCAACCCACACGCAGACTGAAATGATGGGGACAGGGCCTCTAAATCAACGTGTGGCTGGTCTTTCCCCTATTTCATCTCTCTTTTGATTTAGCCACACAGATGAATAGAAGTTACAGTATGACTGTCTGTGAAGTCTAGTTTTAGACACAGCCTACTTTCTGGTGTAGTTCATCTCTTTGTGTGGGGAGTGCAACGTCCCTCCCCTCCCTCCCGCCTGTTGTGAATGTGGGCCTCCGTCTGTAAGTGGTGACATCATGCATGGTTATTCCCACCGATGTGTAACATTGCCAAGAGAAAGCTGATATCATACTCTCTCCTCTCCCTCATATTGAGTCTAACTCAGTCCACACACATCAGGATCTTATCACTGCATCTCACTGTTTCCACATGTCTGTCAAACAACTCAGGAAGAGGGTGACCCGTTGCTCATCATTACATGAAAACATGCAGACGTGCTGCAGGGTGACAATGAAAAGAAAGTAGGATGTGTTAAAATGATGAACAGACTGTACTTTGGGTGTTCATTTTGGGATTTTCGTCTTTTAGTTTTTACTCTTGGTTTTACTGTATTTTCATATGGGGATAGATTTTTATTTTAGACTTATAGCCATTTTGACGTTGTATTGGTTTTACTGTCTTTTATTAACACCGTTCATTAGACCTGTTTAGTAGGTTAATGAAACCTACGTGTGGGAATCAAACTTACTTTGTTTAGGGGCCACAGTGACTGCATTGTCTCAGATACATATTTGCTTGACTTTCCACTTCCAAGGAGGAGGAGATGATTAGCAAGGGGAAAGAAATGGAGGAAAACATTGTTGAAATGAGGGAGAGCCAATAGGAAGCAACTTTGTTGATTAGCACATTTTCCCCAAGCCTCAACCGTGGTGCTGAACCCTGTCCTGATGGAAGAGAGAGAGCCAGAGGCAGAACAAGTGCAAGCTTCTAGCCATGTTGCCCACAAGTCCTGTCCAGTCAGAGAAGGCACGCTTGTTTTGTAGCCATGCCACCAAATGATGGAAACTAGTACAGATGTATTTGATTCCTTAACATTTCATGAAAAATAAGGTCACATCTCAAATAACCAATGTGGTGAGGGCAAAGCATGGAAAGTGGGAGTTTAACTCAAATTCAACTTCACAAGCTACAAATACTCTGTCAATGTTCTCTCACAGGGCATCAATAATGTACTGAAGTGTCTTTTTTAGTCTATCATTAGGATTAGGGGCTCTTTCAGAACATTCAGTACCTCTGCAGTTGCCAATCAATTAAATTAGGTGAGTAGGTGTGTCTGTTGGCCTTTTGGCCAAGTAGAAGACTGTCATCAGCTCAACACATATGCGTTGTGGCTACTTTGTTTGAGTCTTATAATTGGGTTAGCAAAATATACAGTACCAGTCAAAAGTTTGGACACACCTACTCATTCAAGGGTTTTTCTTTATTTTTACTATTTTCTACATTGTAGAATAATAGTAAAGACATCAAAACTATGAAATAACACATATGGAATCATGTAGTAAACAAAAAAAGTGTTAAACAAATCAAAATATATTTTATATATCTGATTCTTCAAATAGCCACCCTTTGCTGTGATGACAGCTTTGCACACTCTTGGCATTCTCTCAACCAGCTTCACCTGGAATGCTTTCCAACAGTCTTGAAGGATTTCCCACATATGCTGAGCACTTGTTGGCTGCTTTTCCTTCACTCTGCGGTCTGACTCATCCCAAACCATCTCAATTGGGTTGAGGTCGGGGGATTGTGGAGGCCAGGTCATCTGATGCAGCACTCCATCACTCTCCGTCTTGGTAAAATAGCTCTTACACAGCCTAAAGGTGTGTTGGGTTATTGTCCTGTTGAAAAACAGATGATAGTCCCACTAAGCCCAAACCAGATGGGATGGCGTATCGCTGCAGAATGCTGTGGTAGATATGCTGGTATTGTGTGCCTTGAATTCTAAATAAATCACAGACCGTGTCACCAGCAAAGCACCCCCACACCATAACACATCCTCCTCCATGCTTTACAAGGGAACTATACATGCAGATATCATCCGTTCACCTACTCTGCGTCTCACAAAGACACGGCGGTTGGAATCCAAAATCTCAAATTTTGACTCTAGACCAAAGAACAAATTTGCACCTGTCTAATGTCCATTGCTCGTGTTTCTTGGCCCAAGCAGGTCTCTTCTTATTATTGGTGTCCTTTAGTAGTGGTTTCTTTGCAGCAATTTGACCATGAAGGCCTGATTCACACAGTCCCCTCTGAACAGTTGATGTTGAGATGTGTCTGTTACTTGAACTCTGTGAAGCATTTATTTGGGCTGCAATTTCTGAGGCTGGTAACTCTAATGAACTTATCCTCTGCAGCAGAGGTAACTCTGGGTCTTCCATTCCTGTGGCGGTCCTCATGAGAGCCAGTTTCATCATAGCGCTTGATGTTTTTTGCGACTGTACTTGAAGAAACTTTCAAAGTTCTTGAAATGTTCCGTATTGACTGACCTTCATGTCTTAAAGTAATAAAGACTGTCATTTCTCTTTGCTTATTTGAGCTGTTGTTGCCATAATATGGACTTGGGTCTTTTACCAAATAGGGCTACCTTCTGTATATCCCCCCTACCTTGTCACAACACAACTGATTGGCTCAAACGCATTAATTCCACAAATTAACTTTTAAGAAGGCACACCTGTTAATTGAAATCTAATCCAGGTGACTACCTCATGAAGCTGGTTGAGAGAATGCCAAGAGTGTGCAAAACTGTCGTCAAGGCAAAGGGTGGCTATTTGAAGAATCTCCAATATAAAATATATTTAGATTTGTTTAACACTTTTTTGGTTACTACATGATTCCATGTGTTATTTCATAGTTTTGATGTCTTCACTATTATTCAACAATGTAGAAAATAGTAAAAAATAAAGAAAAACCCTTGAATGAGTAGGTGTGTCCAAACTTTTGACTGGTACTGTACATCATTTCAGAGTGTCATTATGAGGAGGAGAGTTTCTATGCAGTGTATCACTGGTCTGTGACTACAGGACTGAATTTTGATGGTGTCAGTAATGCATATCCTTTCAAACTTTGGGATGGTCTGTCCTATGCACAAGGCAGCATTCCGAGCCTTGAGACTTGCATTCGATAAAATCTTTCCATCTGTTTACGATCCCTTCTTCACGGTCTCTGTCGCTAATTATCCCTGTGCATTTTTTCACCCTGCTGGCCAGTTATTGGGTCAAACTGAACCAAGCCCTTGTGCTAGAGTCGCTGTCAACACCCATTTAAAACGCCCATCACTCCCGACTGTTATTGGCACAAATCAAGATTAAGTGGGCCATTGGCAAAACGCTCAACCACAGCTCCCGTCTCTGCTCCTTTCACTGATTCAGACATAATGTGAGATTAACCGCAGCTTTATCTTTACTGTCTGTCTCTCACATGGCTCTAATCGTGAGAGTTTCATCTGATCCAAAGAGAGGAGTGAGGTGTGTGTGTGTGTGTGTGGGGGGGGGGGGGGGGGGGGGGTGTTTTTTTTTTTTTTTTGTGGTTTTTATCTCGGAGCAATCAAGATCCCCCTCTGTAAGTAAGTAGGATACAATGCTGCTCAGTGTGTGCGGCTGAGGGTGTGCAGGGCTGGGCTGTGAGTGACTAGAGCAGAACAGGGAGAGTCAGGGGAGAGTGTCTGCAGGGAAACTTCCCGGTTCCTGTTTCACAGCTCCATAGTTCTCCATATCTCAGAGAGATGTTCTGGGACCAGCCCTCCCCATCCTCATCTGGCCCACTCCCTCCTATTAGCCCCTCAATCCTCTGGGTCTGCCCATAGACTAGCGGCCTTTCGCACCACGACAAATGCAGATGTAGTCACATAAGCCTAGACGGTTTATTTGTGTTAGCCTACCCCAGCCATATTATTTCACCTTGAGTCTTGGGGAAAACGGGACAATAGGCTAGAGAAACTTAAATATTGGCAGAGGAAATGGTTTTAAGACTGACACAGAAACATATATGAAAATGTGTTACGGTCTGTTTTTCATTCATCTCACACTTCCTCTCCATAATGTAATTTTATGGAGGTTAGGGATCTATGTCCAAAGTGGTGTCAAATATAGCACATGTAGGCACATACAGTGTATGATTTTTAATCTCAGAAAATATATTTGGGGTTAATATTTTCTTTAAATTAAATCTGGTCACTCCAAAATATGTTTTAAGCATAGTATTACTTTTAATGAGTCTAAAGAACAGGCGCCATACCCATGAAATGGAATTTCCACCATTACTGGATTTAAGCTTGTTCTTCTGGGATTTGGCTCACTGTGCTTTAGAAACATGGTGTATATCGCAGCTCAAAGACTGAGTAGATAACCTTTTCCTGTTAAGCCCATTGAAGTTCAGTACACACAAAAAACACTTGACACTTTTTGAAGTCTTGTTTTTGTTTGAATAGTCTTTTAAAGTCAAATATGTTTAGTCTTTTATACGTTGTCATTACTCAAGTACTTCTGTTTTAATCTTAGGCTTCGTCTTTGCATAAGAAAATCTAGACTTAATGCCTGGTATGTTTCTCCACAACTTAGTGTTCACATCATTCCGTTTGAGCAGTATGTCGGCACTCGGCACATTGCCCCAAAGTGGCCATCTCTAATTCATCTCAGCCAATCCATGCCAAGAAGCTGTCATTGTGTGTTGGAAGCTCATATCCACTTCCATAGCTGTAAGGTTTCCTGTAACCTTCCTTTGCATCACTGTTTACATGAAGGAAAAAAGGGGCTCCTTGGTGACTCATTCCTCCTGTTTGCACAAGACAGCGTGAGGAGAGGATGGCTGGTCTGGGACCTGGTGGTAGTTTCATCTTGAGGCATACCCACCCCACGGTCTGCACTGTGAAAAATGAACCAATCATGGTCTTCGGAATAGATTGAAGCATATTGCGAATTGAAGCTTCAGAAGTAAAATCCACATGATTGAAAAAGAAAATGTGGGAAATGTTTTTGAAAGGGATTACCAAGATAAAGTGTAGCATCCTGTTGTGCTTTGATGAAAAAGTGTTTGTGGCCTGATAGAAGTGTAACATATTTGGTAGACTTGTTATTGTACCCTACCATCTTGAGTCAGCCGCTGATATTGTTGCCACAGCAAGGTAATGATGTAACTCAGTGGGCAGTACAGTCGTAGGTCTTCACAATGTTCGCTGCTTCAGTGTTATGAGATATTTTTGTCAGATGTTACTATGGTATACTGAAGTATAATTACAAGCATTCCATAAGTGTCAAAGGCTTTTATTGACAATAACATTACGTTTATGCAAAGGGTCAATATTTGCAGAGTTGACCCTTATTTTTCAAGACCTCTGCAATCCACCCTGGCATGCTGTCAATTAACATCTGGGCCACATCCTGACTGATGGCAGCCCATTCTTGCATAATCAATGCTTGGAGTTTCCTGGCCATGGACCCAAAATGTTGATGTTTTGTTCCCCGAGCCACTTAGTTATCACTTTTGCCTTATGGCAAGGTGCTCCATCATGCTGGAAAAGGCATTGGTCGTCACCAAACTGTTCTTGGATGGTTGGGAGAAGTTGCTCTCGGAGGATGTGTTGGTACCATTCTTTATTCATGGCTGTGCTCTTAGGCAAAATTGTGAGTGAGCCCACTCCCTTGGCTGAGAAGCAACCCCACACATGAATGGTCTCAGGATGCTTTACTGTTGGCATGACACAGGACTGATGGTAGCGCTCACCTTGTCTTCTCCGGACAAGGTATTTTCCGGATGGATGCCCCAAACAATCGGAAAGGGGATTCATCAGAGAAAATGACTTTACCCCAGTCCTCAGCAGTCCAATACCTGTACCTTTTGCAGTATATCAGTCTGTCCCTGACGTTTTTCCTGGAGAGAAGTGGCTTCTTTGCTGCCCTTCTTGACACCAGGCCATCCTCCAAAAGTCTTCGCCTTACTGTGCGTGCAGATGCACTCACACCTGCCTGCTGCCATTCCTGAGCAAGCTCTGCACTGGTGGTGCCCCGATCCCGCAGCTGAATCAACTTTAGGAGACGGTCCTGGCGCTTGCAGGACTTTCTTGGGCACCCTGACGCCTTCTTCACAACAATTGAACCTCTCTCCTTGAAGTTCTTGATGATCCGAAAAATTGTTGATTTAGGTGCAATCTTACTAGCAGCAATATCCTTGCCTGTGAAGCCCTTTTTGTGCAAAGCAATGATGACGGCACGTGTTTCCTTGCAGGTAACCATGGTAAACAGAGGAAGAACAATGATTTCAAGCACCACCCTCCTTTTAAAGCTTCCAGTCTGTTATTCTAACTCAATCAGCATGACATAGTGATCTCCAGCCTTGTCCTCGTCAACACTCTCACCTGTGTTAACGAGAGAATCCCTGATATGATGGCAGCTGGTCCTTTTGTGGCAGGGCTGAAATGCTGTGGAAATGTTTTTTTGGGATTTAAGTTCATTTTCATTGCAAAGAGAGACTTTGCAATTAATTGCAATTCATCTGATCACTCTTCATGACATTCTGGAGTATATGCAAATTGCCATCATTAAAACTGAGGCAGCAGACTTTGTTAAAATTAGTATTTGTGTAATTCTCAAAACTTTTGACCACGACTGTATATCTGCATGTTGTCTTCTGACTTCATCCACAGTAATATATTTTATTGAGACGTTTATAGATTCATACCTCATATCAGTACTTAACATTCAGAGTCTTGCGTAAGTTCAGCCTTATCAGAATGACTGGCGTGATATGGGGGCAGGGTAGTTGTCCATTGTCAACTTGAAAAGTTGAGTATAAATGCAAACAATATGAGCTCCATGACAGGGATCTGAGAGGTCTGCAAACTACATATCTTAGAATCCTCTGTCTTTTTCCCCTCTCCTTGTCTCCCCAGATGAGGAATATGGTGCTGAGGGTGGAGGGGGACCCTCCTCTCAGTCTGCTCAGCCCCAGTCTCCACCCCATTCCCAGCCCGGCTTCAGGGATCCAAACCAGGTGCCTGGGTCCATGGGGGGTCCCCCCTACCCCCAGGAACCGGGCTCCATTGGGGGTCCCCCCTACCCACCCACCAACTACAACAATATCCACATCCCCCCTGGAGCCCACTGCCCAGCCAACACACCTGCAGAGCTCCCTCCACCTGCAGGTAAAGGATAGGACATCTACACACCACCCTGCCATCCACAACACTCATCAGAGCCTTTAGAATACTCATGAGATGTTCATGTCTTTAGATATATCAGTGCAGTCTTACCTTGTGATTACAAACATGATCAGCTCTAGCAGAGAGACAGAGAATGGTCATGATGAAGACTTCATAGACTTGACTAATTATTTGTCTGCCTAGTTTGACTAGGCTAATTCTTCATCTGACCATTTTTCTTCTCCTGATGTATAACAGAGTGGTGTTCCCCTGGCATAACTTGAGTACAGCTCAGCTCAAGCCTATGGGATACACTTTGCCATTATACCCGTCTTGTATATTTTGGCATTGGCGACAAGCATAGGAAAAAGGCCTAATCATTTTTCCTTGGCAGGTCTTTTGTGAGCGGAGAGACAGGATTGTGTAATGAACCCTAATGGCTGCTTTCTTTGCGGCTGACTTGGGTGTTGTGTCCCATATCACCCAGGGAACAGTTACCTCACACAAAGCAGCCAACACTAGTCATTTGTAACACCCCCACCAGACAAAGACCAACGAGATATGTTTGTTTATTCATTCTCTAGTGGTTATTATTAATATGTCACATGCTCATTAAGGTTGTTGTTGATGATAAATGACATCAACATAGGTTGTGGATGTAATATGGACAGTTGAGATTTATCATAGTTTCCTTATTGACTCAGTCTTGGCAGGCCGTGGGCGGCAGAGGTCTGTCCAGGTCTTGGCCTTCCTGACTTTACCCTGCGTGTCTTCCTGTTTTCCCTGCTATCACGCTCTACCTTTTAAAGAGCAGAGCCAGGGGTGAAGGCAGGGGGTCCGTGAGAGCAGGGTCCACTCTGAAGCCCTGATAGTGTGCTTTCCCCCCGAAGGCCCAGGGCCTGCCTGTGTCATCTGTGATTAGCCCACTGGCTCCCAGGCACAGAGGAAATGACTCGGCTCCACCCAGTGACCCCAGAGGTGCTCTGGCACTAATTGAATCGGGGGCGGCACGCCACGCTGCATACCTCAGAGCCTGCAATACAAACACATGAAATATAGCTGTACAGATTTCCCCCAGGACCTCCCTTGTTTTTTGGGACCCATGTAGCTGGAACCTGTTTCAGGAGTCTATACATTGGCTGTGAGGAGCAAAATTAACATTGTTCCAGATTACATCAAATCTGACCTTGTTTTCATTATAGCTCTGCAGTAAATCATCCATTTGGCTTGAGTGAATGTACTGAGGCCTGAGCAGCTCTCTGCGCTCTAAGTGCATTCAAACCACTTCTCTTTATACTTCATAAAGTCATATAACAGCGTTAGCCAACACATTTCTTGGTTGTGGCGTAGCAGAAGTTGAAAGTGCCCTGTATTGTTTTTCCTGGACTCTAGAGGTTATGGGTGGACTGGACTAACTCTGCCCTGTTCCCCTGTGTTAGCAGGAGAACCCATTAAACCAGTGCCTGTTCCCCGAAGCATTCCGGCGGTCGACCCCTCACTGCGGAGTGCCACTCAGGAAGGTAAGGAGTAAGAACAGGACAGGGACAGCATAGTACCCCCTTCCCTTCCCCAGGCACCCTGGGGCTCACCTCTCCCACATCTCAAAACCACCACGGTGATGGCTCTCCTCTTGGCTGTGAGGAGACGAGGGGTGGGGGGCATGAGTGGTGGAGAGAGACTGGCACACGGCAGGTCTCCTCATAAAATGCTTTATGGAAAACAGACTTTGGGCTCTTGGATTCCAGCACTGGTGGGAAAAATATGACCACAGACAAAACCCAAATAATCACAGTCTGGCTGATGAAAGGAAAATGACTGCATTACCAATTGCAGTGTCATGACAATGCAGCCTTAATAAATGTTAATGAATCGAGAGCAGAAAACACCGCATTTGGTTGGCATGAGAGGTGATAATTACATGGCTTACTCAGCAGGAGCTAGTGTGATAGTGTTACAGAGTATTCAGACCCCTTGACTTTTTCCATATTTTGTTACATTACAGCCTTATTCTAAAATTGATTAAATTAATTTTCCCCTCATCAATCTACACACAATACCCCATAATGACAAAGCGAAAACACGTTTTTATAATTTTTGCAAATGTATTAAAAATAAAAAACAGAAATACCTTATTTATATAAGAACATTACCAAATACACTATGGCAAATGAAAAATTATCTGCTAGAAGTGAATAGAATAAAAGTGTACTGTGTAATATTTACAAAATCACCTGATTTGGCCTGATCTATTCCTAGCGCTAGCGCAATTGCTAACTAGCGTTATTGCAATGACTGGCATGCTAGCAGATACCATAGACTTCCAGCCATTGTGCTAATGCTAGATAGCATTGGCTTGTGAAACTACCTCTAACTTCCTTTATATTGGACACAGAGACATAAAAATGGTATCCTCAAGTTAATCTGACTCTATGGAAGTAAATAAAGTATCACTTTAATTTATGACCTTCAAAGCCAAGCAAAATAAGAAGAAACAGAAAACGTTATAATATTGACATTCTGTTTCTCTATTTGAGGAGGCTTTAAGCGATGTTTTGAAAACAGTTGAGAGCACAGTGATGGGCTTTGACCAGACCATTTAACCTGCCCCCAAATATTAAGTACATTAACCACCCTCAGAGCTGTACAAATCTTTCCTCAGATGGAACAGCGTTTTCGTAGTGGTATATTCTGAAGGGCCAAGGTTATAAAATTACCATAATGGCCACCAGCGTCTGCCTTGATTTAACACAAGTGTTCAGAATCTACCCAACCTCAGCCTAACCCTATAATTTAAATGACTGGTGGTAAATATGAGCTTATTGTGGCAAGCCACAAATAAATCCCTTGCCATGTGGCTAATACGTGAGTACTTTCTGCCCGTAATGTTTATTTACATTTTTTGGTAAATGGGACAGTCACTGGTAGACAATGAAAGGTTGGGGAAATTTTGTCCATGATCATCATCATTTGTGTATCACTCACTGTAGCTGATTGAAAAGGTAAGCAATTATCCTGAATCATGTTATTATTTTCAAACATTCTGTCACCTCAGTTTTTCCTTCCTCTAGTTTTTAACAAGTTGCAAAACGACATGTTCTTATTCATTGTCCATACTGATAAATAGGCATTAACATTACTTAACATATACACAAGAAACCTATCATTTTGAAACACACCATTCAATGTTTTATGTTGATGTTACTACAAATGTGCTTTAAACCATTTGGAATTCTGAAGAAATTGAAAATGCTTAGCATATGTGTCTAGACCGACATGGTTCTTTCAGAGTTATAAATAGTGTCTTATATTGAAAAATGGTAATGACACTCATGGCCAGTGTCTCAAATTCTGGTGAAATTGCAGAGTGTGGTTGGTCTTGTGAAATACGTTTTGAGTTAAGGGAGAAATCAGAGAGATGTTTCAGACTGGTCTGACTCAGACAATTTATGACCTAATAGGGCGGGTCAGTGAAGGAGTAAAATAGGGGTGGTGTCACATTCTCTCTTAATTAAGAGATCACATTCTATAGTGTGAACTTTTATTTTCAATAATTACACTTATCTCACAGGAAGTCCTTATTCTTTGTCATGGCAGGTGACGTGCGCCTCACACCAGAGGACTACACCAGGGCTCAGAAGTACTGCAAGTACGCCGGCAGCGCCCTGCAGTACGAAGACGTGGGCACGGCGGTGCAGAATCTGCAGAAGGCCCTGAAGTTGCTTACCACTGGCAAAGAATGAGACCCATTGTCCCCCGGCGTCACTGTGTCACTATATCGCTGATCTAGCCCAGAAGAATTAAGAGACCATTACCCTCTAATCTACAGCAGCCCCAGCTGTATCCGTCTGAAGAAAGCAATTCTGTCCCAAGCATTCAACATCACTGTAAACAACAAGGACATCTGTGTCTCCATATTGGACTCCTGTTGTGGAGCTTCCAACTTGGCTGTCCATAACTAGTGAGTTGCTCACGAAAGACTTCCTGAGCCTGTATGTTAAAACAGTGCATTTATCACCTGCTAATATACTCCTTATATTAGTTTACACAAACAACTTATTGACTGTAGTTTTGATAACACTTTTGTGTAACACACATATCCCCTTTGTATGTATGTTTTGGGAACATACTTGGTTTGCTGTTCAAAATCCTAAAGAAATACACATTTTCTCATTTAATTTTACATGCACTAAGTAGCCCAATGCTTCAAGTAGATATAATCCACTATTTTCAGGCGACATTGATCTTTCCTTTACTGTGTTTTCAATACAGTATCTATTTGTCTTCTTTTCTTGGGTGAAACGACTGTCATTTCTGCATCAACACAATTTAAATAAAATGTGTAAATTGATTGATGGTTGGTGACCTGTTTGTATATACTGATACTGTCTGCTTTAGTAAACAAAACTGTCCAAGCAAGAGGAGGACTTTTGTTCATGTTTACTTTGTTTGATGATGACCTCTTAGGGGAGGGAGCAACAAGAGGGGAACATATACGGTTGGTTTCCTGGACATAGATTTAGCCTAGTCCTGGACTAAAAAGCTATTTTAATGGAGATTAGCCATTGTGCATTCTTTTTAGTCAAGGACTAGGCTTAATCTGTGTCCAGGAAACTGACCCATAGAGAGGTAATTCCAGAGGTACAGTAATGTCACTTTAGTTGAAAGCCCTTCATGAAACGTGTACTTTTATATGCTGTTATCTTTGACTGAGCAGTAGATCGGTCCATCCTCAAATATGCAGAAGTTCCTGAGTGAGTTTTCTGTTTCTAACATTTCATTTATCGATGTGTTCTTAAATGAAGGACTCATTTGACCATTATTAAAACAAATCAATTGAAGTATTTAGGTCATTGTTCACAATTTTATACTTTTCCATAATGATGTTGAACTAGGAAATATTGAAGCATGCCAGTGCTACACACAGTAGAGACAGCAACAGTCTGTTGATGGGTTATTTGAATACATTTATCCAGAACGCAACATCCCTCTCGACTGCTGTCTCCACTTGAAATGTATTTAACCAATTTGCTCTGTTTATGTAGCCAAGCTTTGAAGATGACCTTCTCCTCTTCTCCCTTTTAGTGTTTGTTTGATAACAGTAATTAAACAGTAATGTACAGCCACTGGCGATTATTAAAATGTGCTGAAACTCCAAGAGCAGATAATTGAGTTGACCTCATGGTGGAATATTCACTGTGCAGGCTCATCACATTAAAGAAACGCTTCTATGTGTAAATCAATGAGATGAAAGGAGTGAACAATAACAGTTAGAACATTTCTAATATCACCAGGGAGTCACCTGCTGTATTACAAGGGGCATTGAAATTAAATGCTGGAAATTAAACCTTTAATGAATTTTTGAGTCCTGCATTTCCAAAATACCACACTGATATCTTCCAGCACATTTTGTTTATTAAATCAATCGGGTTACACTCCATTTAAAAATGAATGAAACCGGAGAGTGCCCATGAATACCAAATTCTTTGAGAGTCCTTAGGCTTCTACTTATTCTGGTAATAAATAATTATGGGTAATGTTTGGGTTTGCTCAACCTGTTGAAAGTGATTATTATGCCTATTTTCTTGATGTCATCACGCTCATTGTTTTTCTTCATTGCCTGCCTATTGCCTTAAGAGTTATAGAAAGGGCATTGGCCCTTTATCTCTCGACTGGCTGAACTATCACCACCAGCATCTGTATTTGCCTGAGTCCCTTATTCCTTCCTTGTTGATGGGCATGGTGTCAAATGAAAATCAGGTGGATTCCTTCCACGTATTTATTCTAGCTGTAAAGTTAATGGGGGAGAAAAGTCACATGTCAATTTAAATAGGTAAGTACCTCTCTGTGACTGTGAACAACTGCACCTTCAATCTGTGCACCATGTCCTGTCAGCCAATGAGTGGCTTGAGGTATGGTAAGTATTGGAGGTGATCGAGACAAGATGCAGAGATGTATTGCTTTCCTCAGTTATTTTGCAACATTTCAACTTATATGTAAATCATGTAAACACTATGAGATAAATACTGGCCCTATTTAGCTCACATGACAGTACTGTGGGAACATTAGCTGGGTTTGATCATCCCTTTGTCATGATTCATTATGTACTGGTCAGAGAACAGCCACTTCTTTGGCTTTTGTAACAGCTGTGTCCCCAGCTGTATAGGTCACTCACAACTGGAAATGGAAGACTCACTTTTGCCAGGCTATTGTCTGTCATTCAGGGAACCATGTAAGAAAGTTAGTATATGGCTGTATTGCCACCCCATAAAACTGTCAATGTTCTATTCTATTTTGGAAGATGGGATAAAGTGCTTCCCATAGTTTCATTCAAAGATCTGTCATGTCTATTCATCTTTATAGAACCCCCCAACCCAATTAAGGAGCTGATAGAACTAGTGACTTTATTGTAGTTCTATCAACAATAGAAGACATATAATTTTTTATTTTGGCTGTGGTTAAACCTCAACGACATTAAAAGTGATGGCTTTGGAGACCGAAAAGGTGAGAAAGTGTATAAGGCATGCAAATTCAGCAACCTGGTCTCAGAGCATTTCGTATTATTATGGACGTGAATCTGGGAAACTCCATTTAGTATGATATATTACGTTTGATATGGTATGTATTAATTTGTGGATGTCCATCATCCATTTTGTATGCTATGTTACAAATTACAATTCGTATGATGTGTTACAAATTTGCAAAACTTATATGTTACAAATCATATGAAATGTACGAATTCTAATTCATTGTGGCTAACGTTAGCTAGGCTAGGGGTTAGGGTTAAGGTTAGGAGTTGGGTTAAAGGGTTAAGGCCAGGGTTAGGACAAGGCTTAGCTAAAAGGGTTACGGTTAGGGTTACGGGAAGGTTTAGCTAACATGCTAAGTAGTTGCAAAGTAGCCCAAAAAGTAGAACTAAATTGAAAAGTTGCTAAAATGATAGTTGTCCGTGATCAGATTTGGTTTGCTAGACGTTCACGTTATATGGACACTCATCCAACTACCCTCCTTTTGGTTTTGCCTTAAGTAACCTTCTGTCTTATGTAACCAAACATAACATATCATACTAATTTGAGTGTATCAAATGTATGTTTACTATGTTACGTCTAGTCTATGAGACCAGGCTTGATTCAGATATCCAACCCTGTTAAGAGTTATCTCAAAATAAGATAATTCTAAACTGCCATTGAAAGCAAATTACTTGGATCATACATGGCCTACATACTATGCACTATGCATGAACTTGTTTCAGTCCTGTCCTCCCTCATTTCAATTTCACAATAGTTTCCGTTAAAGATGCACTATGCAGAAATCGCTCCACCATTTCATGGTTGCTAAAATTCTAATAGTTGGCCTAAGTTCAGTTTATGCGGCAAAACAAGCAAGTATAGTGTAGATAACCATCTAAATCGCTGTGAAGTATATTTTCCATAACCAAAAATATTGTTTTTTTTCAGCTGTTTGTAGCTGTTGTACAAAACCTAAAGTAAATTAGGCAAAAACGAAACTTAAGAATGGGAAGCATAGAAATTGCACACATAGAACACATCTAACACTTCTTAGACTTGCTTTCAATGAGAATGACAGATCTATAACACAACTTTTTGGTTGGTAGCCCAAAAGTTACATATTGCAGCTTTAAATGGGAAACCTGCAGTTCAAATAATTACAAAGTGGATACCCCGCCACTGTTTCGGTAAACAGCTGAGGGATGGGACTGGGGAAATGTAACTACACTTAAATTAATAGACAGAGCTATGGATGCAAGGACTGACCATCCATTATATCAAATTATAGTTTTAACCATGTTTTGAGGCTATACAGTAGGCTATTATTTTGGGTTCTGGTGGGGTTAGACAGTTGAACTAAGCTCATGAGGCATTTATAAGTTATATTCTTCAAGAATTCATGTCTGTGTACACTGAGTGTACACATTAGGAGCATGCTCTTTCCAAGACATAGACAGACCAGGTGAATCCAGGTGAAAGCTATGATCCCTTTAATCCACTTCAATCAGTGTAGAAGAAGGGGAGGAGACAGGTTAACGAAGGATTGAGACAAATGAAACATGGATTGTGTATGTATGCCATTCAGAGGGTGAATGGGCAAGACAAAAATATTTAAGTGCCTTTGAACCGGGTATGGTAGTAGGTGCCAGGCGCACCGGTTTGAGTGTGTCAAGAACAGCAAAGCTGCTTGGTTTTTCACGCTCAACAGTTTCCCATGTGTATCAAGAATGGTCCACCACTATTCTTGATACCATCCAACTTCACACAACTGTGGGATGCATTGGAGTCAACATGGGCCAGCATCCCTGTGGAAAGCTTTTGACACCTTGTGGAGGCCATGCCCCGACGAATTGAGACTGTTCTGAGGGCAAAAGGGGTTGCAACTCAATATTGACTACTCAGTGTATTATGAATTTAAAAGTAAATAAATATATGTAGTAATCGCACTTGCCCCTTTAAGGAATGTTTACTTTCATTGTGGCATGGCCTACTGTCAGTCCATGCTGCAACAGTAAGCATCACAGACACAGAATAAAACAATTATCATGGGACCTAATTATGTGGAATCTGTGAATGTCCAATTTGTCGATTTTCACAGTGTGGTGGAGAAGCAACTGCTGTAGAATTCTGGATGGGTTTGCAGCATTTTTAGCAAATGTTCTTAACCCCTGGGACTTGCCTGCCTGCCTTTAGTTGAGGGTGGGGCGCCAGAGGGAGAGAGAACGTCCTCTAGCTGTGTGCAAGGACACGGTCCTGAACGGTAAACCCGCTTTAATGCTGTTTCAAGCATCTTGCGCGACGGGGAAAAGGTTCAACAATCGATTTCAGTTTCCGACTTTAGGATAAGTGCGTGTTTAGCGTTTATATACTGAACTGTGATTACATGAATTAAGTTTTGAAACGTCGCCGTGTCACGAATTTGAAGAAGTTTCCAAAAGTTTTCCAAAACGGCGAACTCCAGTCGGACGACAGGAGAGGAGATAATATGATTATTCTAGGAGACCAGCTCCCTCTCCAATAAGATAATGTAAGTTATAAATATGTTTTTATTGCTCATGACGTTATCGTCAATGCTTGACTTTTTCATTGTCTTGGAGATTATTTTCCAGAGGATAATTTAATGGATGTTACATTGTTACACTTTGTGTTTTTTACTAAATGTATATATTAGCCTATTGACTTTGAGAGTGGTCATAAAGTTTTCAAAACACAGTCAACAACTTGTTCTGTATAGTTAATCAATTTGACTGCTAATGTAACGCTTCTGGCCATATTGCTATAGGGTTTTCATAAATTCTTGTTCAATAGCACTCAAGACATGGTAAATTATTACATGCAAAACTGCATGATTATGACACAAAGTAAACGTAACTACTTTAGAGGTAGTGAAAGTAGCCTACATTATAGAGAACAGCTTTTTCACTAACTTGGTTTTCCCCCTAGCTCTACTGAACACACTACTGACATTACTGAACACTCAATTGAGTGAAATTCTTATTATTCTATCATCTCTCTGGCGGCTGTGTTGGTGTTGGGTAGCTAGCTATACCACGTTTTTTTTAAAAGTATAATTTCTGCCAGATTTTGTATCTTCATAAAGACTATATAATGACATGTTGTCTTCTGAAGTGTAATCAGCATGTGAGAAATTGCTGTTGAAAGAGTGGTCTTATTATATTCTTCACTGGTGTTACACAACCCTAGAACATGTTCCAAAAGTTGGTGTAAACTGAAAGATTACAGACTAAATTCACAGCTGCCAGACAGTTCCACCAGGTCCTCAATGTGGAACTTCTCTGACAGGACAGAAAATATTAAGCGATGTGAGATGAAGTTATAGAGAATCTGTTGAAAAGAAGATGAATAGCCTATACCTGCCCCAGGTGGATGATGTCAGTCACTCCACTAAACTGGAGGATTTAATTAAAAACCAAGGTCTTAATCTGATGGCCCTCATATCCTGAGACCCACAGCTCAGTGATGACTCTATACCATTATAAGGCATCATCAAAGCAGAGCTCTGTGAAGAGTGAGAAAGACAGGCCATTAGATATCATAATGAATGTGTCTGAAGATGGTTCATGACTCTTGTCCAACCAGTCTTCTCTACCATACGTACACTCTAAACAGACATGTATTCCTACTAGTTTGGATATTTATAATACCATCTTCATCTATGTTACTACTGCCCATTTTTTATTATGAGTGCCTGGCATCAATGGGTTTGATGGACATACAATGAAAATCCACCCTAGCCACCAGATGAATCAGTCTTTATGTGGTCTCCATGGGATCCAAAGTACTGACCTCTCTCTGCTTGTGTTGCATTCATATTTACACATTTTGAGAGAAACAACTCTCAACAAAGAACACTTTTTCTCTAATGTCAGGAATTGCATGAATTGATGTAATATGCAAGCAATTAATTGAGTCTTGTTCTCTCAGCCCTAATGCTATAAATTATGTATAAAGATGTAATTAACTTCCTTATTCATATTTATTTCTTCTACATTTGGAAGGCTACTGTCTACTCTACTGTTTAGGCTAGTAAATGAAAAAGGGATTGTTAGAAATGTAAAGTTTATTTTTGAGGTTTCCTTCCTTTGTAGAACATACAATCATATCCAATCATTTCCAATAACCATATTAGTTACTATTTGAATAGTCAAAGTAACAATGGATGACTTTAGAATTATGAGAAAGTATATACGTGGCTTTTTTTGTGTGAAATTTGAATAGTCAACTTTTTTCTATTTATACTGTTTATACTGAGTCTGTTTAGCAAGAATATTGGCTGTCCTTTGAGATAAGGTTGTGGAGTTATAAGGTTGTGGAGTTATAAGGTCGTGGAGTCGTAAACATGCTAGTTCTTCACTACTGAGTATTGTTTTCTGAATGACTATAAGATAAGATTTTCCTTCCTTCTCTTGATGAGAGCACCTCTCTTGATCTTTGTTTCCTGATAGCCATGATGAACGTGATGAGTTACAATACTGTTGTCTGAATAAAATATGACCAGGGATCATGGCCATTGTGTGGTTGGCCTATTCATACTCCATATCACTTCTCTTGGTGCTCCTTCTGCTTGCGAGGAAGTTGAATTGCGATACTCATCATCTTGTCGAAGTGAGTTCTCCGGCAGGGCTTTGAGTTAGGATGCAATGAACTTGGGAGGGCACACAGTGAACAAAACAACAGTGGGTCAAGTTTAGTGAATTTTGTGAGTATAATTATGTTATTTAAAGTCTTCATGGAAGAGAGGGAGAGGGTCTGGTATTTTTCCATACTCTGATGTTGTCGCTGCGAAGATGCTCTGAGTCACCCGGATCACATTGATGTCGGTAAATAACTATCCCTTGACTACAGTAATTGCATCTCTTGAGGAATCATTCAATGTGTGATACCTACTACCTACAGAGAAAATGCAACATAGGAAGACTCCCGGAAGCTGTGAAATGTTATTTTTTAATCTTCCTCCAGCACCACTCTGGGCTCAGGCAACACCTGGAGTAATTGGTATCAATTAGGCCCAGACCAGACGTGACTATTGGCTAATGAAGGAAGTGTTTGGTGAAGTGGAAAAGCAGTTTGTCCAGATATAGTTCCGCTCAGTGTAGTGGAAGTTAACAGAGGAGGAGGCCCTTTCCTCTCCAAGATTGAGGAGGAGAACAGGGCCTCTTGGCAGATGCTCCATCCCGTCCATTATAGTTTGGGCCCACAGCAGCTCAACCATATGATTAGCTAATAGTAGCTAACCCAGCTCTGTGAAATGACTTGGGTTTGGAGTATACTGTAATTTCCTGACTGACTGAGATGTTTGTTTGTGTGGCCTTGCGTTGATTGGGAGAACGTTAGAAAATGAGGTGATACAGAAATGTTAGAATTACACTTTAGATTGAGAAGCAGATTCAGATGGGGTCATGATCACATGTGAATTTAGAGGTAAATGACACCTAGAAACCAAAAGAGAAACATCCTCACATGACAAGTGGTTGATTTTGTAGTATCTCTGTAATAACCCCAGATAGATGTATCTGGACTGCAGAGACCCAGCAATAGAAATGTGTTGATAAGAGTGGATTGACTCTGGTTGCCATTTTTCTCTTCTCTGTTCCCATCACATTGCATTTTTCATTCTGTATTCTTGCTGTGAACCTGGTTTAGATTTGTACTGTTTGATTGTTTTGTTAGTGATTTATCGAATTCACTTACGTACATGTTAGAAAAGATTACAGTGAATTTATGCTGACTGACTTGTGTATGCATTTTAATATATCTATGGTGAACTCCTCTCAGACAATGTAGACGTTTCATGTCATTTTCTTATTTATTTTTAAAAAATATTGTAGACAAGGCTTTTATCCATTAATCCAATGATATTCCTGGAATGTAAAGTCTACAGGCAAGAGGGTTGTATATATTGTATGTACCCAGAGATCAAAACAGCCACATTGGTTATTATGGGCATGGCTAATGACAGTAATGGATGTATTTTCCTTTCGTTATAATACCATTTTCATGTTAGATTCAAACAAGGAGCATTGTATGAACCACCACACTGATGCAGTCTGTCGGATACTTACCACTGGTGGTCTCTAACTTTGGAAGTCATTACAACTGACATGGGAGAATGATTTATCATTATATAATAAACTGCATTTGCTTCACTGTGGTTTCTCTGTGCAGAAAAAGATGTTTCCATACCACAAATACATAATTCAAACTTTCAAAGTGGACCCAAATTGCAAATTGTAGACCCATCAGTATGAATAAAGATACTGTAAGTTTGTATTTATGTCATTTGTGTTACTGCATGTGTACGACTATAAGACGATAACCAGTATGTCTCCATCCTAATTGTGATTTGTGATTGACAGGGAGTCTTACACCCGTGGAGGATGGTGGCGATGGAAGTTCCGTAACGTCCTGCCAGTTGCCCTGCTGTTGATGTCCCTGCAAAGACAAGGTACACACTGATTATACTATTGGCATCGCTTGTGTTTTCTTATGTTTTGAATAGTATGCATCCTGAAATAAAAAAGACAAATGGATATTGATTTATGATTGTTTCATTATGATTGTTATACTGTATACCATTGCTTTCTCTCAACATTGTCCTCCTTTCATTCTGTCTTTTTTTCTGTTTCAATGATTGTGCTTTTTGCGCTTCTGCTTTCTTTTCTTTTAGTTTTTTGTTAGTTTTTTGTTTTATTATTTTACTCCTTTTTCTCCCCAATTTATCCAATTGGTAGTTACAGTCTTGTCCCATCGCTGCAACTCCCGTACAGACTCGGGAGAGGCGAAGGTCGAGAGCCGTGCGTCCTCCGAAACACCACCCAGCCGAGCCGCATTGCATCTTGACACAATGCCCGCTTAACCTGGAAGCCAGCCGCACCAATGTGTCGGAGGAAACACCGTACACCTGGTGACCGTGTCAGCGTGCACTGCGCCCGGCCCACCACAGGAGTCGCTAGTGCGCGATGGGACAAGAATATCCCTGCCGGCCAAACCCTCCCCTAACCTGGACGATGCTGGGCCAATTGGCGCTTCTGCTTTCTCATGTTCATTGCTTCGGTTAACACTAGCACTCTTTGTTTTACATATGCACCTTCAGAATGACTGGACATCGAAAGGCAATTGTTATCCACAGTACAGTAGTTTGGTATCAGTAGCTATCAGTAGGTCTATTTGAAAAATCTGTAGCAAGTCAAACTATGCACTGGGCAGAAACATTGGTGTTACCTTTATTAATCCGGTCATTGGTGATAACTGATATACGAGTACTGTTGATTCCATGAAAGCACAAGACAAACAGTCTTGATATCTAAAGTAATGATGTCTTACAGTACATGACAAATATGGGCAGTTAAGTCTTGGATAAATACATATGGCAGTACCAGTGATGGATAAATGCAGTCAGTATGCAGTATTGGATAGTGTCACACAGCGATGACAAGACACTTTATATTTACCACCACCAGGTAATCCCGAAAGGGGATTTAAATATGTGTTTCATTACACTAACAGACTGAAACAGGGTGAATGTTTCCCAAATTACAAATAAAAATGTTTTATGATTTTGCTTTAGTGCGTATTCATTTTGTCACATGTGATGTTTGACAGCAAAAACAAACACACGTGACAAAATATAATTTCGCCCGAGGGTGCCGTTGGACTATCTGCTAAGAGTCTTTAGGCTCAGCATGTGTGTAGGTCTAGGCTAATGTGTTTGCCACATGAGCTAGGCCTGTTGAAGCCAGAAAAAGGCCTCCACTCTGGTCCAGTTCAGGCTTTATAAAGCTCACACCACTTCTCTCACCTAGGAGTTAAAACATTGTTTTCCTGCACGTTGTAAGTCTGACTGACTGTTGTATTTTATGCAGTTATGTTTGTTCTGTAGGTTTAAAAAACCAGTCATAGTCTTTTTTGTAATTGTTACATGTCATAGCTGGCTGTGTTGGTTGGCATTGGCAGGCAGACCTGAAGCAGAAACATTTATAGTTCTGGCTGCTGTTCAGATAAGGCTTGGATCATAGGAGATTCAGTGCCGGGAAACAGTGCATTTTTAAGTGTGTTTGGTGCCAGAGAGAGAATCAACAGAGTAATCTCACTCTCGCAAACAATTATTGTCATAAAATGCTGCCCCATTTTGACTATTAAATATATACCATCTTATCACAAGAAACAGAGCAGAAAGATATATACTCAGAAAAAAAGAATATAAGATTGAAGATACAAGGGAAATGTCAATAGAGTTCCTTTATTAAGTAGGACATCAACAGAGGAATTTTGACACAGACATGTCAACAGTTTATGATTACATCCACATGGGTATCTGGCACCACAGGGCAGAGAACTCCCATTTCTGATAGGACGCTTCATACAACCACAAATGAACACAACGTCAACTTTCCCCCCATCAATTGTCATTCCACAAAATATGATCTACGCTTTGTTAAAGTTTTGACATTGTCATAACATGCGTGGGTGTGTTCCTAGTGTTGAGCCATGGTCTCAGCAGACCTTTGAAACCAAATTAAAATTGGCAGAGCTGTTCCGTGCTCCGCCATGTTACAGCAGCACAACTCCTGTGTGTTAAGAAGATTGGGTCATATGCGATTAAACTGCCTCCCCTCCTCAGCTATCCCCTGAATGACGCACTCAATTAGCCCTCTCGTGAAAGACAGGGGCGGGACAGATACCAGCTGAGATACATGCAGCCCAGGTGTGCTGCCAGGTGACCAGGAGGGGGCTGCTTGAAAGCTGCCGAGTAATCTGGAGGATTAAACTTTCCTCAGAAGTCCTCTATCTGAAAGAGTCTATTTTTAGGCAGTGGGAGTATCAGTGAATGTTTGAGCCCATCTCTACCCGTCTCTGCGTATCTGGCATTCCATCCCTTGGCACCATCCCACTGCAGCCTGCCCTGCCGCCTCTCAAAGGAGCTTTCTGATCAAACCCTGTTTTTTAGGCACTCTCTTCACTGACCTTCATCGCCCTTCACATTTCAGTCATGCTGCAGCAACACCACCATACGAATTTCATTACAGGTCAGCGTCTTCAGGTTTATACAGTAACAATGGGGTTTTGTGTTCTTATGTTAATGTCTCATTAAGATTGGAATGCTTTTAATCATGGTAAATTCAGATTCCCATCTCTTTAACAGTTAAATGTATACAAATGCTATTTTTCAATTCTGTACTGTACACAATCACTTTTTGAAACCCGCAATTATTGAACACATTGCCAGTTAGAAAGGAAATGCTTGAAATATTGAAAAACAAAGATGCCTTTTTTATTTAACATAAAATTACTTTCCAGGAGTTGCTGCTCATGATGTGCTGAAGCCAGCTATAGTTGACTCTCACATTGGCAGCAATTAATTGTAGTAATTATATTTGTTGACTTGCTTCATAAACGGCATTAACTGAGCAAGAGATACTTCGATGTGGGTCTAAATGTGTATGTGTGTGTGTGTGTGTGTGGGTGTGTGAGTCCTCTGGGCCATGTGAGTACACAGGGGTCTGGTTATGCCCTCGGCAGCGGTCAGGGCTCAGTGTGTCTCAGAGGGATGTGAACAGGGACATACAAACTGAGCAAACATCATTTGGCATGTAGTTTTTCCTCTTGCGCACCACACACACCACACCAGTGGCTGACAGCATCACACACACACTCACACACACACCAAAAACAGACCCAGTCCAGTTGTCAAACGTTGATCTCATTACTTGTTTATTCAACTCCTGAGCGTGAAGGGAGTTCGTTCATGCTGTTGTTTTTTCTCTGGAACCTGCCAAATGTTATGAAATTGCCACCATTTTGTTGGGAGGGATTCTAGTTGACTCAACTTAATTATAACCACAGCAGCACAACCACAGTTCTGTTGGTATGCTTGTTGTCTCTGTTGTATAATGTTCTGAGGCATCACCCTTGTTGTTGTTTAATGTATCTTCTTTTTAATGTGGAAGTAAAACAGGGATGGTTCCTCGGGACTTCCTGTCACACTCTCCAACATGTGTTCACATTTTCAATAACATGACTTAATTACATGGCGTGTCTGTTTTGCATTAGGTCAGTTAAAGCCTTATAATTCATGTTCAGGGTCTATTCTCATAACATGGAAAAAGGGAGAAAAAAACATGTTCAAAGCAGAGTGGATCCAGGTAATTCATTTTATGGCAAACCACTGTGTTAGAACTCGCTATTGGTTGCAGAATCAGGAAAGATTCAAACTTGCCAACGTGCTAAGTGGTACATTTAGGAGCGATGGGTAATAAAAACAAATAACCTTTATTCTTTGCAGTTGTGCTCGTTCCAAGACCGTCCAAAATCAGTATTTTAATGTTGACACTTATTACTTTTCTAATTCAGTTGTATTTTAATCGTATTCAAGTGCTGGCATGACGTAGAAATATATCAAACTGATACTGCATGTCAAATGTTTTATTAAAGTGGTATGATTCTCAGGGGTCAGTGTCCTATTACATAGAAATGTAGGGATCCAAATAAATATAACCTAAAGTGTAGCTAGATTCTGAGGCCAATTGTTTTGTGCAATTGGAACCACAGAAAATACCAACGCCTACATTCTGAGAGTAAATTTGCTAGGATAAATCATTAATAATTGTTGGATTAAATACCTGTGGGACTTATCTCCATTAGTTAAGACCAACAATTTCATAGCACTTACAAATATGAATAAATAATGAATACTTGTCATCATGACAATGGTGTTCACTAAACAGTTACCTACAAACATGGATCACACTTTTGTTATGGCAAGTACGTAAAAAATACTGTTTCTCCTTAGATCAATCTAGAAACCGTTTTGCGAACCCGACCACAACTCCTGAGCTCACAAATGCGCGCCATTGTAACCTTAATTCCCTTTTTACATGTCTCCTATCGATGGTTATCACAGTCATCATTTGCATTGGTGTTACTTCCTCACCAGTGTTTGTACAGAGCCTCTCACTGTCCCTTTGTAGTAGTTTGTGTCATTGTAAAATCATATCACATCACAACACCCAATGTCCTCCATCGTATTTCTCTATGTTTGGACATAGTCACTAGCGATTCTAACTGGTTAAAAGAAGATACCCAGCCACTTTATTACACCACTACTCTTAGATTTGACCACGTGTTGCCCTGGGGGTGTAGAAATGTTCCCTGTGTTTTTTTATGGGACTGTGCCCAGGGCTATGACCCTGATGAATCATAGAGGCAAATGAGAGGGGCTCTCGCTCGCTCTGCGTTTCATCCTCCACTCAGACACTCCTAATGAAACCAGTGCACAGCGCCAGTATGCCACGCTCAATTATGTCTAGGCCATTAATTGGACTGTTTGGTAATCCCTCACATCCATAAGAGTATAATAGCTTTCACTTGAAGCACTATAATTGTATCAATCTATGTTTATTTTGTATATATGTGTGGCTGTTATTTAATATCATTTGTTTATTTTCAATGGATAAAAAAAAAAGACAAGTGGATAATGTGTACAGTTAGCTTCATATTTAGATGACAGGTGGATGTGGGATATAGAAGACAGTGATGTTAATGTAGTATGAGATGCCTCAGTAAGGACATTCCCCAAAGGTAACTCTAGACACTCTCTTTCAATAGGTTTATTATATCAAAAGGTGGGATATTTGGATAGTTGACCTTTAAAGGTGCAAGGTTCTAAAGAAAGCAAGGAAACATTTTACATGTTACAATGCATATCTTGTTCAATATATTTTTCCAGTTCTGTGAAGAGTGTTGTGTATTAATGCTGATACCCCCTGTTAGTTGCCCATAGCTAGTCTGCCATGATTATCTATCATGTGATATGTATGAGAACGCTTGAGACGTTGCTGGCAGTAATATTTTTTTTCTTTGACTAGGCCTCACATATTAGGAGGTGTTTTTAGACAAAGGAACAGCCACTCTAAGTTGTAATTCGGTCAGCCTGAGTGAGTGGATTTAGTTTTTAGGGCCCTCTTGACCCTCTCAGCTGAGAAGAGGGCACATGTTGGCAGGTATAACAGTACCACAGGAGGACCAGGCTGTAATCTGACCCAGCATCAGCCATCTATTGTGGGGTGCATAACACTTCTAATGAGTCGATTTTCTGAAGCAAGGACAACTCTGGCCTGGAATCAGGCGATAAACAAAAATGTGTGGTTTTGGTAGGAATTGTTTCCAGTAATTGGAGATTTTGCTCTTACTGTTATAGAGAATTCCCTCGACCCTCTCCAAGGGTAGAATTCTCTGGATTGTTGCCGTCCAGGTTTCCTGATCCCTGATTTGATTCAGTTTGTAGAGAAATGACACTGCAAAGGTAGCATTGTTCCTGCCTGTAAGCCATCAGGCACCAGGATCAGAGAGCTAGGAGAGTAAATGAGAACACCCAACATAACAACTGCTGATTTCCATTGTATAGGTTTTGTCCGGGGTTTGGCTTTTGATGTGTTATCCAAATTTTACTGACATTTCATAGAGAAAGACTTACAGTTACAGAAGATTTACTGTTGCTCACAATCAAGTTCGGAAGTTGGATCAAGAAGCTTATGGAGAAGAGACAAAAACGATTACTGGCCATATTGAGATTGCAGAATTTAATTCTGTCTTATTACAGTTCTAGAAGACTGTATTTCATAACCGAGTTAAATGACTGTTAACAGTTCTGAAAGAGATCCTGTCATTATGAAGCCTTTGTGTTTTCTGACTGTACTACTTGTTTTAGTTGAGCTTATGTTTAGATGTCTGCAGACCGCTCAAATTTTTATTCACATTTAATGTTTGTTTATGCTAAATAGAATAGGTGGTATTGTACTTTGTGTTGGATGCCGATCAAGAACGCCACCAGCTTTAATTGCTCCACAGTGAGATTTTGCTCTTGAATGTTTCTGCCCCACTCCAATGTTTGCTATGGTTTTGGCTCACATATTAGACTGGCCTGGGTAAACAGAAGTCATTGTTTTCTGAGTGAAGATTTCTTTCCAGCCCATTAAACATTTTCTCTGCGCATAGTCTTCAGGTTACCTTTAAATCATAGCTCTGGTATTTTATAATCTCAACATACATTTTTCAACTGCGTATGTAGTATGAGTGCCTTTTTCCACTGACTTGACTCTTTGCTACTGCTAATCGAAATCTCCTGTGAGTCTAAACCTGAGATGGTCCCTGTTGTCTGACTCTGTCTACTAGTCCACTAACACAGTCTCTCTGACCTCTGACCTTATTACCTGGCCTTGCACTGTTGCACTACTGACCTGACTCCTCCTCCACTGTCTTACCTGTCACCTGTCCTGTCCTGGTGTCCCCTGGTGTCTCCTGGTGTCTTCCTGTCCTCCCTGGTGCTGGGGTGTAGTAGTGACAACATGTCCCTGTTTTGGTTCAGCAGTGTTGAGCTGTAGTAACTCCAACTGCGTTGTGGTGCTCACGGACTCCCAGGGTACATTCACCTCCCCCTGCTACCCCCAAGATTACCCCAATAGTCAGTCCTGCAAGTGGACTCTGCAGGCTCCGGCTGGATTCATTGTGCAAATAACCTTCCTCGACTTTGAGCTCGAGGAGGCCCTTGGGTGCATCTACGACCGCGTCATTGTCAACACCGGCAACCAAGATGTGAAATTTTGTGGCTTGACAGCCAACGGACTGATGCTAAACTCCACCGGCAATGTGATGGAGATATCATTTAACTCAGACTTTAGCGTCCAAAAGAAAGGATTCAATGTCATGTACAGGCAAGGTATGTTTTAAAGCAGGCAAGCTTTCTTTTCTGTTTACTTACTTCTGTTTTTACAGGTATATTTTTATGATTATCATGATTGTTATGTTTATTATGATTATTAGGATTCTTCTAATGTTTGTAGTTTGAATGTTTTTACATTACATTTTCTTCTTTAGTTTGAACATGCTTATTTAGATGTTAATGTTTAGCCATGCCTTATGACAGTAAGCTTCATGGTATTTCTAAGTACTTCCCATAAGAAACATTACGCAAGCATCAAACATCTCCGCCCTTATACTAACCAATCAACAACTTGGCTCAGGACAAACATGTCTATGCTAAATTTAAAAAGTAGACTTTTTATTTATTTTTTGACACAATGCAGTGCTTCTCCATTCAAAAATATTCAGTTCCCTTTTCTCGAATAGAAAGGACCCTAATAAGCACAGGCGACTTCAAACAAAATTACGTTTTGAATTCTCAATAGTAGTCAGAGAAACCAATGACAGGGTAAGTGAATGATTTACGATAACATTGAGTTTTATAGTGTTTAGCCTGTTCAGTTTATAGAATCCTAGTCCCAGCCTTTATCTAGGCACCATAAACCCTCCACATCAAAGAGGGACAGTACATGTAATCACACATAGCTCCACCACCCATTATCCCTTCACAGGGCCTAATCAACCAAAATCACTTCCAGCATGAATAGAACCTCTGATTCACAATGAGTCCAAGTATGAATGAAGTGTCAGGGAATGGTACCATAGCTTTCCAACGCCTTCACATTATTAAATAACATTTTCACAAACTTTTACTGTGAGAGACCACAGGACAAAAAACTTCAGCCAGCCATGTTGGAACATGGTATGCTTTGCATTATGCAAGCAATCTTGCTGTGAAACACCAGGGAGGCCAAGGAAAACCGGCTTTGGGAGGTTTCCACAATGCTTGGTTCTGGTTGGCTCCTTTGCCGTCGCTATGCGTTGACTATCAATTTAAAGCATGGACGTTAGATGAGCTAAATTGAGTTAGATGAATTAGATTGAATCATTTATACAGTGCATCACATGAGCCTTTATTCTCCCACACCCATCAGTTGGGGTCTAAGCTCCTATTGGATTTGGGCTCTGTGGTGGTATCCCAACCGGCAGGCAAACCTATTGAACTTGGCTTTCAACCTGTTGGCAGCCCAATGTCCTGCCTGGAGCCCTGGAATCATATGACGTTGTCACAGTAAGCCCTGGTCTTTCCGTACGGCTCGCAAAGCAGATCGGAGATCAACAACACAAACAGAGCCCTGCAGGACCTATCAAAAAGGGCCTCTCAGCTTTGTCAAATCCTGATACCACATTCAAAGCTGAGCTGTGTTTTTCCATTCCAAATTGGCTGTCACTCTGGCAATGGGATGGCCAACAGCAACAAACCCGCCAACCAAATCTGAGCTTCATTAAACGAAATGTCAGAAAGTATGGCATGAGCATATGTACATTTAAAAAGGAACAGAAAACCCCTTTTCCTGCTGAAAAGCCTCATTGACTGGTGGGAATGTGGAAATGGAGTGCTGGTTGACATTTAATCTTAGTGATAAGAGGTAGGCCTGAGATGTTAGAAGCTGAGGTCCCTGCCTAACTGGCACTGTTCATCCTCTGGGCTGTGGAACACTGTCTGCAGTAATATAATGATGATGTGGAAACGGTGTCTCATTAGATGCAAATAGTGAATAACGACAGACAATAGGAGAGTGACACATGAGGAATTTTCAACCTGTAGCCCCTGGATTCACACAGCATGATCCAATTGATCGATTTACTTAAAAATGAATTGGCCTTTCAGCATTCATTTTGAATGCTGAAAGGATAATTTATTTTTAAGTCAATGAGAGTATGACTGTATAGCAGTAATGGCAAGTAAGTGGTGTGTTTACCCAGACATACTGTATGTTATTGGTCGCATCGGGCTTTAGACACGATGTTCTGTGTAGTTTTTTAGAGCCCCTGGTTCTACTGAACATCTGACAGTCATCTAATGCAGTGGTTCCCAACTCCAATCCAGGAGACCCACAGTGCTGGTCTTTGTTCCAGCCCAGCACTAACACTGATTCAACTGATCAAAGGCTTAATGATTAGTTGATGACTTGATTGGTTGAATCAGGTGGTTGTGGGTTCTTAGGCCTGGAGTTTAACAACACTTTGTCCTCTAATGCTCTTCTTTCTACTTGTGTGCTGTAGTTGCCGTGGCACTGAGGAACCAGAAGGTCGCAGTGTCCAACAGCGCAAGCAAAGTGGTCCAAGTCTCCAACTCTGTGACCATACCGACCCTTCAGCAGTTCACTGTGTGCTTCGAGATAGCCCGGCCCAGCCAAAAGAGCAAGGAGACCATCTTCTCTTACACCCGGCAAGAGGACATCAGCGGTGTAGAAGCCCTCAGCTTCGGAAATGACCAGAATGGAATGGCGCTGGTCATGAGTAACGAGACATGTCTGATAGACTCTATCCTCAACACCTCGGACTTCACTTCCACCATGAAGCCATTCTGTCTCACTTGGGCCTCCACCACAGGCAAAGTTACCATCTACTACAACAGCAACTATAGGGCAAAGACCTGCTCCAACACGATTGGGCACTCGGTGGGGGCTGGGGGGCACTTCAGGCTGGGGTCCCATAGCAGCTTCGATGGGACCATCTATAACTTCCGCCTGTGGGATTACGCCATGGGCATGACACAGCTGGTCGCCCTCACGTGTGACGCCGTCGGCAACGTCATTGACTGGGACAACAGCTTCTGGGACATCCCCTCTTCGCTGGCACAGACGGACAGCACACTGAGCTGCAGTAAGTATCCCAATATAGTCATCCTCAACAGACTAGTCTATTGTATTTATGATTACTGATTTCCAGTCAGCAGAACTTATGATAATAATAATGATTATTCAAAAGAGTTTGACTGACAGTAGTCGTTATATTGTTATTGGGACAATTTCATGGTTTATTAGTAACAGTTCATGCAATATTATTCTAAGTTATATAGTAGTTATGAGAGAGCCGAAAATGGCATAAAAATCCTTAGTAACTCAAACAGTCCAAGGTTATCCAAACTGCTTAGGGAGATGAAAGCAGCAGGACAAAGATATGCTCTATGTCTCTAATAATGATAGTTTTAGGAATCTGTTTGTAGCGATAGGAGCGTAGCCACAGCGAAGGAGCCAGGGGTGTCGGGATATGTCTGCCCGACTGCCCGGTGCCCACTAGAAAATGGTGCTGTGTGTGGTTTAGCTGGGGAAATCATGCATTTCTCCAACCCATTATGAGGCTCACAGAACACACACACAAAGGCCCCATGGCTGAGGAAACTATTCCTAAAACACTATCTGCTCTGCCACAGCTTGGGCCTGAGAGCCTGTGAAAGAGAGGGGTGTTCAGAGGACTTTTAAGACCAAATGGTAGGAGTTCCCTTCCCAGCACTAAGCTCTCCCTTTCACAAAGGTGCACAGAGAAAGATGCCTGTCTCTCTGAACATTAGCTCGCTCTGTGTTAGTCTTGGAACTGCTCATGGGTGTGGATGATCTGGAACAACCAACTCCCCTTGGGTACTCTTTGAGTTTACATCTCTGCTGCTGCTCCAGTTGAAAGTCATACATACCAGATGTTAAAACCGATAGTCTAGTTCTACTATACTCTACACTATTTAGAGGAGTAGGGTAAACAATATATTGTTGTTAGGGCTGTGACGGTCATGGAATTTTGGATAATGGTAATTTGCCAGCCAAATGACTGCTGTCACCATAATAACCGTTTGAATAGCAAAATAATAAATACTGTAAAGAAAAACAAAAAATCCTCTCCTCTGCTCTTGACTGCATGTGCCGCCATAGAAATATAATTCCCATTTGAGTCAATGATGACATAATGGGTGGACTGGTGCCCATCCCGAGTGTACCCATAGGAGCAAAGCAGGAAGTAAAAGCAGGAAGTGTACCCATCATGTGTGCTGTGATTTGTTGATTCAACTCAACTGACATTACAGAAAATACATTCCATTGCATGAGCCACATCAGTTAACATCATTTGAATGAACATTCTACATTTCAGCAAGGAGCAACAAAGTTACATCAAAGATTATCTATTATATTGACAAGATAGCCGAATGACCACTCTAAAAATGGAAATACATGCCCTCCATGATTTAATGCAGGCGAGATCAGCTGGGACCATTCTAGCCAATGAGAGGACAGATACGCATGTGAACAACAGGCACAATTAAGTCATTTTTCTCAAAGTTGCCAGAATGCCACGTGCATCCACTTACAGTATATCAGTACATTAACAGCCTAAACATTATTAAACTTATATTCAATCAAATAAGCCTCAAGTAAGTCATAGACCTCCATACAAAAAAGGGCTTATCTCACACAGACAGATTTTGAGCAGAGTAAATCCTCTCGCTTTGCCTCTTCCTCTCTGGTTTCATCAAGTTCTTAAGAGTCCATGTTACCGCAGAAACGGACTCAACCGCACTATTGCCCTGCCGCCTGCCTTCAGTCAGCTGTTCATTCCACAAAAAATTACAAAATAAACAGTTATGACGGTTATTTATTTTCATGGCAGTCTTTATTCATAACCGTCGGTTACACGGTTATACGGTAATTGTGCCAGCCCTAACTGTTGTTTGAGTATATCACCTCTATAGTAGTGGACTAAACTCCACTCCATGGTGAAGAAAGTTTCTGATGAACTCCCACCAACGGCATGGAGGCAAGACCAGGCTTTGTGGAATCTAGCTCCAACTACATCAATTCGCCCAAGGTCAATACTTCAAAAGATGTCAATTATGAAATGCCCACTTTGTACCTATGTTTGTCCTCTGTAGTTGCATGCCTTTCTTTGTTTGCTGAAATCCCCAATTTTTCAATAAACATTAATCAAATACAGCCACCGACTGTTTGCTCATTGCTGTTGCTCTAAGATGGCAACTCAGCGCAAAAACGCATGTGCCAATTGAATCTCATCAAGGAAACTGTTGCATCCCCGGTTGAGGCCTCCTGTAGCTCAGTTGGTAGAGCATGGTGCTTGCAACGCCAGGGTTGTGGGTTCGATTCCCACGGGGGGCCAGTATGAAAAATGTATGCACTCACTAACTGTAAGTCGCTCTGGATAAGAGCGTCTGCTAAATTACTAAAATGTAAAATGTAAAGGAAGCAGGTTATTTTTAGTTCTTGCAAAGAGAAACTCGACAGTATAAAGCATTAATATCACAAAGACTGTTTATTTCCAACATGACAGCGGATACGGCATACTAAGTAGCCTGTTCCAAGCTGAGTCCATCTGCACCCGCTCTAAGGTAGCACACTTGAATATGCTGGCCAACAACCAATGAGGGCCTGCCAAGTAAGCTATGCGCATCCAATCAGATACATATTTCCAATATCATGCACTGAACATGTGCATACCATTTTAACCAGATGTGCATAATAACATGCTGCTTATCTCTCAAATACTACAGAAGCAGTCGTGGTTGTATTTGATTAACATTTATTGAAAAGGTATGGATTTCAGCAAACAAAGAAAGGGACGCAACTACAGAGGACAAACATAGGTACATAGTAAGAATGCCATCATTTACATTTTGTATTGTAAGTATTGACCTTAGGCGAATCAATGTAGTCGGAGCTGAGTCTCTGCTCCACGCAGTTGGTGGAGTTCATCAGAAACTTTCTTCACCATGGAGTGGAGTTTAGTCCTTGTGTCCTTGTTTATCTTTACATAAACACCTCCATGTTTCATTGTGGTCCATTAGATTATTAAACATGTATTAACTTATTAATTAGTAAATAAATGCTTTGCTTTGCCTACATGAGTTTGTTTACATGTCACTGGCTGATGCAGCTTCTGCTTAATAATTGCCTGTGCCTGATTAATATGATACATACTAATGTCAAGTCTTCTCTTTACAGTCTGTTTCCCACTTTGCATACACTTAACAACAGCTGCTCCATCTAGTGGTGAGTGTGCTGCTAACAACCTGATTGCTTTGTGAAATTCGCTTGCTTGAGTACCATGCAAGATGATGCATGTGAAATACAGTGTTAACCACTATAAAGTGTAGACTTTATGGTTCCAGGAAACAGAGAGTTGCATTATGGATTAACTTTTTACCAAGCCTCTGGACGTTATATGCCAATGATAAATTATAAGTTTGATTAATCTACAGTCAATATGCCAAATCTATACACAAATAGAATATTATTAGTCTTGTGTCATACATACAAGACCAACCAGGTAAAGTTATGTTATTTTTCTGCTCGCAGACTTTGTGTCGTGACATAACGAGGCGCTGCATGACGCAAGTCGACCAGCAGTGGTACTCTTGCTAATTGTCTGTCCGTCCTTGCTTTGAATAACATCAATGTACTGTATCTGCCTGCCTCGTCTTTCCAGGGCTTCTCATGCAGGAAGAACATTTACTTTTTACAAGACCAGACAATGACTTCTTAGGAACTAACATGTAACAACCCCCCTGTACAGTCGTGGTCAAAAGTTTTGAGAATGAAACAAATACTAATTTTCACAAAGTCTGCTGCCTCAGTTTTGATGATGGCAATTTGCATATACTCCAGAATGTCATGAAGAGTGATCAGATGAATTGCAATTAATTGCAAAGTCCCTCTTTGCCATGAAAATGAACTTAATCCCCAAAAAACATTTCCACTGCATTTCAGCCCTGCCACAAAAGAACCAGCTGCCATCATGACAGTGATTCTCTCGTTAACACAGGTGAGAGTGTTGACGAGGACAAGGCTGGAAATCACTCTGTCATGCTGATTGAGTTAGAATAACAGACTGGAAGCTTTAAAAGGAGGGTGGTACTTGAAATCATTGTTCTTCCTCTGTTAACCATGGTTACCTGCAAGGAAACACGTGCCGTCATCATTGCTTTGCACAAAAAGGGCTTCACAGGCAAGGATATTGCTGCTAGTAAGATTGCACCTAAATCAACCATTTATCGGATCATCAAGAACTTCAAGGAGAGAGGTTCAATTGTTGTGAAGAAGGCTTCAGGGCGCCCAAGAATGTCCAGCAAGCGCCAGGACCGTCTCCTAAAGTTGATTCAGCTGCGGGATCGGGGCAATACCAGTGCAGAGCTTGCTCAGGAATGGCAGCAGGCAGGTGTGAGTGCATCTGTCTGCACTCACAGGCGAATACTTTTGGAGGATGGCCTGGTGTCAAGAAGGGCAGCAAAGAAGCCACTTCTCTCCAGGAAAAACATCAGGGACAGACTGATATTCTGCAAAAGGTACAGGGATTGGACTGCTGAGGACTGGGGTAAAGTCATTTTCTCTGATGAATCCCCTTTTCGATTGTTTGGGGCATCCGGAAAATACCTTGTCCGGAGAAGACAAGGTGAGCGCTACCATCGGTCCTGTGTCATGCCATTCATTCATGTGTGGGGTTGCTTCTCAGCCAAGGGAGTGGGCTCACTCACAATTTTGCCTAAGAACACAGCCATGAATAAAGAATGGTACCAACACATCCTCCGAGAGCAACTTCTCCCAACCATCCAAGAACAGTTTGGTGACGACCAATGCCTTTTCCAGCATGATGGAGCACCTTGCCATAAGGCAAAAGTGATAACTAAGTGGCTCGGAGAACAAAACATCAACGTTTTGGGTCCATGGCCAAGAAACTCCCCAGACCTTAATCCCATTGAGAACTTGTGGTCGATCCTCAAGAGGCGGGTGGACAAACAAAACCCCACAAATTCTGACAAACTCCAAGCATTGATTATGCAAGAATGGGCTGCCATCAGTCAGGATGTGGCCCAGAAGTTAATTGACAGCATGCCAGGGCAGATTGCAGAGGTCTTGAAAAAGAAGGGTCAACACTACAAATATTGACTCTTTGCATAAACGTAATATAATTGTCAATAGAAACCTTTGACATTTATGGAATGCTTGTAATTATACTTCAGTATACCATAGTAACATGCTTCAGTGTTATCTCATAACACTGAAGCAGCGAACTTTGTGAAGACCAATACTTGTGTCATTCTCAAAACCTTTGACCACGACTGTACACTGTGAAACACAGCCGAGGCCTATAATGTTGGCAGGAGGCTAAGGGGCCCAAACCTTAAGTTTAGGTAGTGTGGTTGGCCAGTGGTGTGGCACGCGAAGCTGTAGCTGTAGTCTACCTGGGGTAAACTAGCTCTGGGCTAATTATCAGGCTTGTGAAGAGGACTGGCCCAATGAAGCCCTTTGGGCCTCCTTTCATCTCTGTGTGAGGTCAGTGGGGGAGTGACTGTCTGCATGGCTACACTCTGTCAGAGATCCATGACCCACTGAGTCTTCACATTCCTCACAGTCCTGGCCCAGGCACGATGGGGTAGTTTAGTCTTGTGGGTCTACTAGTTCAGATATATGGAATAGCACTAGCCATTCATCCACATCACCTAAATGCACAATACCTTTTGGGTGGGTTATGGGTACTGGCCTGGGAGTGACAAAAGAGAGTAGTTTCTTACGTTTCACTTCTATGATTAGAACTCAGCAGTGCATGAGGTAATAGTTGAAGACTGAAGACTGGAATCCACGGTCCGCCAGAACAATGGTTCACTGGACCATAGGACAGTGACAATAATGACAACTCACCTCCACTAACTGATATTAAAGATGTCCTTTCTCTCCTATGACTCATTACTTTTCAATATCATAATTATTAGCCATGTCCATCGAGTGTTCTGCTCTGAGCACTTTCCTGTATAACAGCATTAGCAAATATGTGAGGGGGGCAAACAAAGCAGCATTCATCCCTGTATCACAAAGTGCTGCATATTTTATATGACAGAGGAGGTGTTGGTGGTAGGACTGGGCACAGCTTCAGAACAGTGGGGAAAAGATCAAACTCCCTGCCCTTTTCAACAAAATCACAAGTATTCAGGCTTATGAAATTCCAACATTTATTTGGCAGATCATCCTGAATATTTATTGACATTTCTGGGTCACATACCAGCCTGAGAGCATGTAGCTAGCTGAGCTGAGCAGGTGCTGGGAATACTGTCAATCCTGTTACAATGAAGGTGCCTAATACCCAGGGCCAAAGTCGTGCCAAATTTTTATTTTTCATGAATTTATTATGTGTGGGATTGTACTGAAATTAATATAAAACTGCATAGAGTTGTTTGTGTTCTCTTTAACCACTCACCATGGGAAATGTTGTTGATTATGGTGATTTAACATGTTTATTTCCAATCCACTTTGAAGGTACCTCTGTACCTGTCTATACATCACAGACCACCAGCTGTGCCTCTCCTGGACTGGGCTGCCCAGGTAGGAAACCAACGACTGTTACACATGTCAATCATTTACAACAGATCGTACAAGGATTATCAAGCACCACACAATCATACACTATCATACTTATTAAATATGATTGCATATTTAAGCAATAAGTGGGTGTGGTATATGGCCAATATACCACGGCTAAGGGCTGTTCATAAGCAAGACACAATGCGGAGTGCCTGGATACAGCCCTTAGCCATGGTATATTGGCCATATACCACAAACCCCCAGGGTGCCTTATTTCTATTATAAACTGGTTACCAACGTAATTAGAAGAGGAAAAAGTAATGTTTTGTCATACCCGGCTTTCAGCCAATCAGCATTCAGGGCTCGAATCACCCAGTTTATAATGATTAACAACCAACAGACATACCATTTTACCCATCTCACCTCTAATGTGTGTTTGTGTTATCTCCCTGTTCTGTTTTATTCATCATATCTTCTTAGACATATTGACATACAATAGTATAAAATAAATCCTTCTAGCCCCCCCTCCCCCACCCCCCCCATTAAATTTTTTTAATTAAATAAATAATAAAAAGGTGGTTGTCCCACTGGCTATCATAAGTTTAATGCACCAATTTGTAAGTCGCTCTGGATAAGAGCGTCTGCTAAATGACGTAAAAATGTAAATGTAGTATGCCAACATGTTAAAAGGCACACAGTACATCACTCTTTCTCCTCTATGTCACTTTGCAGTCTTGACCACGGTATCAATTCCATAACAAGACTATGATGTCATTTTATGCAGTCTTTGTGGAATTACATAAAAAAACGACACCTCTAGTGTATCAACCCCCTATCCCATTCACCCAGTAGTGTGTACACTGGAAACACACTCTCTGTACCCTGATCTCCTTATTAAGGGACCCTCCAAACCTTGTCATTTGCCATAAAGCTTCCAAATTCAACTGAAGAACCATGAGAAGTAGACCTTCCATTCCATGGGGAGAGAGCGGGAGTAGCGGGGAGGAAGGGAATGGGGAAATCAGTGTTCCTGTCCAGTTTGACCCCTGTTCTGGATGAGGTCGCAGCTGCAGAGATGATGCACGGTTTATGGCCTCTCCTCCCCATAGACATCAGCCACATTTCCCAAAAGTCAGTTCTCACGCTGCGAGCAAATCTATTAAGTGCTGTGTGTATGGTGGATTTAGACAGCTATTTGAAGGTTAACTCTTATATGCTTTGCTTATGAGAAAGACCCCTGTGACAGACTTTGCTGTAGAATCAACAAGGTGATTGGATGAAAATAAATGAGACTAGGAAGGAAGAGAGTCACCTCTTGAAGACCAGCACTGTGGCTTATGATGGCCCAGAGTATGTTTGACAGATAAATATATTTAATCTCTTCATCTGTTGATCCTATCCTGGTAGAATCCACATTATACTGGATATTATTACAACTTTTAAAGCTTTTAATAGCTTTTAAAGTTACTGCATTACACAACTGTACAAGATTTCTCTGCATATTTGTATTCATGTTCCTCATGCTACGCTTGTATTCATTGCCCAATCAGTCATCTTGCATTTGTGTCGTCTCACTTTACACCCATTTAATGCATATGTAACCTTTCTCCATCCATCCCTGCAACCAGCAACATTAACTCCCACCAGCTCATCCATTGTCACCACTAACATGATTGCTACTAATTCAACAACCAACGGTAAGCATCCATCCCTCAACCCCATTGTTTGTAATGAGCACATGTTATTTTCAGCTTGTCTGTTGTTGTGAAGGTAAACCAATACTATCTACTCCATACAGAGTGCAGCTGATGGGTGTTTTAATCAATATGGAAAATGGCAACTCTGACTGATTGAGGGGATATTGTCAGGTGGCCCATTAAACTAGAGAGATTTTGGTCTTATCCAAAAATGGTCTCTTTGATTGCTCTCATGGCTCCCTTTAAAAAAACGCACAGCCAATTCCAGTCTATTAAACCCACATAATACTGACTCCACTGTTGGTGGCATTGAGGTGCATTCACTTAAACTTCTACCTATCCTAAGAAAATGTGTTAGTAAAACATATTTATGATTTGATTAACCCTGTCAGCAGCACATCTGAAACAGTTAATTTCCCAGCCCAAATAAAATTAAGATTTGTGAAAAGCAGCCACCAGTTTTATCAAGTAGGATTCCGTACTGAGGGAAGCCTCCTAATAAGACATGAATGATGAAGACGTGAAAAACAGCTGTGTTTGATGAGCTAATTGGCCGTTTAGTGGTTTGCAGGCCATACAGTAGGTAAACACCATGTCTCTGATACTGTACTAGCTAATGGTTTTGCTGCAGAAGACGTTTGATCTCCATCTCTCTCATATCTGACCCTTCCTTGAAGTAAAGCAAACAAGGTCCTGGCGTTTCCATTTGAAGTTTGGAGCCACTATTGACATGACGTCAATTGTATGGTGGAACAACATTGATTTAACTCACTGTAGCTTAGCCCCTATCCAAAACGGAGGCCACTTGTTCATTTGACAGTCAAATGTGTAACTGTGCTGATAGTTGATCAGATGTGGATGCTTCATGGCCAATTCATACGTCCATGATCTCAACCTTAGCTCTCAATACTTCACCCTCCTTTATTCATCTCATCTCATACTGTGTCTGCTGTCCATCCTTATCTTCAGTTCTCTCTGCAACCACTTCATCTGCCACCACTACTAGCATGCCTCTAACTACCAGCTCAACAACTGGTAAGGTGCCATCTTTAGTTCTCAACATTATTTTCCCTCATTATTTAACCACTGTGTTATTTTACCCTCTTTTTGCTGACTTGTGCTGTAAATGTCACCAGTTCAAACCACTACCACAACCACTACTGCAGCTACAACTAATGTGCAGACATTACCCAGCACAACCACTGGTAAGGTATCTCTATCACTGGATCTGATCTCAGTTTATGCAAATTTGATCTGATTATCGTTATAGTGCAAATATAAATTTTCTGAATGCATTACATATAGACCCTTTATAAATGCTTCAATTTGGTACCTTCATATAATATGTCTATGTAGTTTAGTCTGATTTCCCTCTCAGAACATTTAGCAAACACATGGCATTTGGCAGGCCATTTACCTTCAGGAAGAAAGGTAGAGATGAGAGATCTTGCCAGTGATGTTGTTTGTTGTTTTTTCCATTTGCGTCTTATAATTGAAAATTGCATGGTAACGCGTTGACCCATATAAACCCCATGCATACTCTAGAGCATTGCTTATTGTTTGTGTGTGTTCATTTCACTCTTTCAAACCATTTAGTTCACATTTGCTGTCCTTGTCACCAGTTACTCAAACCATTATCCCATCTGCAGCAGCCGCTACTAACACAACTCTATTCTACAGCACAACCAATGGTAAGATGTGTATTTGTTTTTCTCTTGTTTTGTACTCATGGAAAAATCTGCTTGTGGCATTTTTCTTTATGTGTGGGGAATGGGTTTGAAAGCGGTTCCATCCTTGACCAACTTGGAACTTTCCAGATGGATTAGGCTGGGAAGCAATTGTCATGGCTTCTCAATGGGAGTATGGTATGTTTGCCCATGTAGCTCCCTTTAAAAAATGGACTCAGCAGTGAATGCTGTCTAAGTGGTTCTTGACATGGCTTCTATTTTTGAAAACACCTATAGTAGCCACCTGTTGTAGCCCTGTATCATGTGTTTTGCCGTTATTGCCTTCCATTTGATTTTGTAACCATTTTCCACCCCCATGTTCTACCAGCACTGACAGCTTCTGCTACAACCATTGTTTCAAACCCAGCTACAACTAACTTGCCTACCACTAACAACACAGTGCATGGTAAGAAAGCCCACTTTTCCCTTTTGCCTGTTATTGACTAAGGACTGACTGGGGAGAATTCAATATTTTTTCACTTTTTTCTCAAATGTGTCTTTCTTCATTTTGAATAAAATGTTATATCTCTTACTCTTGCTAACAGTGACAACTACTCCCCCATTTTCCCCTACTACTAACTTACCAGCTAACATCACTACTACTCTGGGTAAGACACACCAGCTGCTCCTTGTCTGGCTGTGTTTGTTTTAAGGCTTTGCAGAAAATAGTCTTTGTTCAGTACAATTTGCATTTGTCACTGTAACTTTCAAACACATTGGGCAAACAGATCTCAAAGTGTAGTCTGAGGACATGGAGCGTCCATTTTTCAAAGTTTTGCATCCATGATACAACTATAGAATTACTAATATAACCAATGTAGGCAAGGTACATTTCACAACTTTCAACTCCATATTCATCAACTCCAGCACCACCCCAACATCAACATACAGTGGGGAAAAAAAGTATTTAGTCAGAAACCAATTGTGCAAGTTCTCCCACTTAAAAAGATGAGAGAGGCCTGTAATTTTCATCATAGGTACACGTCAACTATGACAGACAAATTGAGGAAAAAAAATCCAGAAAATCACATTGTAGGATTTTTAATGAATTTATTTGCAAATTATGGTGGAAAATAAGTATTTGGTCACGTACAAACAAGCAAGATTTCTGGCTCTCACAGACCTGTAACTTCTTCTTTAAGAGGCTCCTCTGTCCTCCACTCGTTACCTGTATTAATGGCACTTGTTTGAACTTGTTATCAGTATAAAAGACACCTGTCCACAACCTCAAACAGTCACACTCCAAACTCCACTATGGCCAAGACCAAAGAGCTGTCAAAGGACACCAGAAACAAAATTGTAGACCTGCACCAGGCTGGGAAGACTGAATCTGCAATAGGTAAGCAGCTTGGTTTGAAGAAATCAACTGTGGGAGCAATTATTAGGAAATGGAAGACATACAAGACCACAGATAATCTCCCTCGATCTGGGGCTCCACGCAAGATCTCACCCCGTGGGGTCAAATTGATCACAAGAACGGTAAGCAAAATTCCCAGAACCACACGGGGGGACCTAGTGAATGACCTGCAGAGAGCTGGGACCAAAGTAACAAAGCCTACCATCAGTAACACACTACGCCGCCAGGGACTCAAATCCTGCAGTGCAAGACGTGTCCCCCTGCTTAAGCCAGTACATGTCCAGGCCCGTCTGAAGTTTGCTAGAGTGCATTTGGATGATCCAGAAGAGGATTGGGAGAATGTCATATGGTCAGATGAAACCAAAATATAACTTTTTGGTAAAAACTCAACTCGTCGTGTTTGGAGGACAAAGAATGCTGAGTTGCATCCAAAGAACACCATACCTACTGTGAAGCATGGGGGTGGAAACATCATGCTTTGGGGCTGTTTTTCTGCAAAGGGACCAGGACGACTGATCCGTGTAAAGGAAAGAATGAATGGGGCCATGTATCGTGAGATTTTGAGTGAAAACCTCCTTCCATCAGCAAGGGCATTGAAGATGAAACGTGGCTGGGTCTTTCAGCATGACAATGATCCCAAACACACCGCCCGGGCAACGAAGGAGTGGCTTCGTAAGAAGCATTTCAAGGTCCTGGAGTGGCCTAGCCAGTCTCCAGATCTCAACCCCATAGAAAATCTTTGGAGGGAGTTGAAAGTCCGTGTTGCCCAGCGACAGCCCCAAAACATCACTGCTCTAGAGGAGATCTGCATGGAGGAATGGGCCAAAATACCAGCAACAGTGTGTGAAAACCTTGTGAAGACTTACAGAAAACGTTTGACCTGTGTCATTGCCAACAAAGGGTATATAACAAAGTATTGACAAAACTTTTGTTATTGACCAAATACTTATTTTCCACCATAATATGCAAATAAATTCATTAAAAATCCTATAATGTGATTTTCTGGATTTTTTTTTCTCATTTTGTCTTTCATAGTTGACGTGTACCTATGATGAAAATTACAGGCCTCTCTCATCTTTTTAAGTGGGAGAACTTGCACAATTGGTGGCTGACTAAATACTTTTTTGCCCCACTGTATGTGAAAATGGCCTGTTTCAATGTTTTGTAGTAAAAAAAAGATAGAGGAGATAACTGTTTCCAATGACATCATCAACCAATTAAAGGCAATTAGTACGCAATTGCTACTCATAATTGGTTAAAATCACATGATGCACACCAATGATGTCATTGAAAACACTTATCTTCCTCAATCTTTTTTACTACCAAACATAGAAACGCGCCATTTTCATATACTGTATGTTGATGTTGGGGTGGTGCTGGAGATGAAGAATATGAAGTTGAACATTTAGGAAATTTCCCTTTAAGTATTTCAGAGAGGCTTATGAGTAGTTACTGTACACATCTTCAAAAAAAGAAACGTGATTAATCACACATTATCTTCCACTTTTTCAGTAGTTTTTACTTTATTGTTGGTTTCTTCTAATAGCATGTCTTCTAACATTGCAAAGATTCTGCTCAGCTGGTTAAAACATACACTTGGGAAATCTTGATATGGTCTCCTTGCTGACTTAGTTGTATTGTCACTCTTGCTAACAGTGTCTGAAGCCACTACTACCCCACCGTCCTCGACTAACATGTCTCCTACTACCATGTCCACTAACATCATTACGCTGGGTAAGACACACACACTCACTAAGCTTGTCCTTGTCTTGTTTGTAGTGAGACTATGCAGCTTCCATTGGCAAGCTGTTCTCTCTCTCAGCCTGCTTCAACCTGTCTGTTTGCCTCTCACTCCCATTCTATCCTATTCTCAGCCAATATGCTGTTTACAGTATCGGGGAAAGATCTGTGTCTATTCTGTCACCTCAAAAGGAAGGCCTAGTTGACTGCTGTAAATATAGGTGATCCAAATACTGTATTCTTCCATGCATTCTGCCTAATTCCTATGGAATAAGACCATAGGCTACTATTTTGTATTTGTTTATTCAGCTCCAGTATAAGCTAGAAGACGCTGTTTCTAAAATCAGTCTGTATTTAAAATATGTAACCTGCTTTGACCCCTCCGTTTTTATATTGACTGGACTGGGGCGCCACAGAGAAGGAGAGAGCGGTGTATCTGTGGTCTGTGCTTCGGCTCACCCCCTGGCCAGTGACCTCCTCCACCACCACCACCCCCCACACCAGGCCTCACGTCCTGCCTGGCCCCCGCAGCTCTAAAACCTCCCTGGGCTACATCTCCACCCCCCTCATCTGGCCCGTGAGGAAGAAACCTGAGGCCTCTGTCACCCGCCTCCCGGTCAGACCCATCCTCTATCTGACCAAGCCTCATCCTGTACCAGCAGCACATATGTCCCTCAGGCCCAAGGTGACAACAATAACAACAACAGCGCCCGTGGCCAGGAAAACACATGCTGTATCCAGGGTCATGACGAGTCCCCAGGGATTGTTCCCATGGCGACCAGTGGATGTTGGGAACAGTAGCGATGAGGAGGACGTGGAGTCATTCCCAGCAGCGGCATCAGCATCACTCAGCAACCGTAAGAAGAATAAGCCCATGGCTCCCCCCCACTGGATCCCATTGAGTCCCAGCAGAGAGAACAGCAGCAGCAGCACTGTGAACTGGACTGAGCCCCTGGAGGAGTACACATCAGGCTCTGAGACATTCATTTACGACCTGGACCTAGGGGACGACCCCTTCAGCCTTTTCCAATATGACTCGTCCTACTCCCTGGATGAAGGCCTGGCTCTGGCCACCTCCGGCCCACAGAACCTTTCCCAAGCTGGGGCTGGAGTCAGTACTGAGGGCCCAGGCCGTGTGACTGTGAGCGACCCTGTTAACGCCGGGGGAGGAAGGGAACATTTACACAATCAATCAGAGCCCAATTTGCCCCAGGAGGCGTTGGCAGGAGGCGCGCTGGCAGAAGCTGGGGGAGAGGCTAGGACAGGGGAGCAGGGTGGGGTGGTGGCAGCACACAGCAGCTGGGCTCAAATCCCTCCTTTCAGCACGGCTCCGGAGAGGACAGGTGTGCAAACGGATCAGGCCCGGCCCGGCAGCAGCTTCAGTGAGCAAACAGCAGAGAGAACCACTCAGTCCCTCTCAAACATCGCTACACAGTCTCCCTCATTATTAACAGCAGCAGAGCTCCGTTTCTCTGAGAGGGTCGGGATTACCACTGACAATGACCCCACAGTGGAGGTCTCTAGACATAAAGACTACACACCCACACCCAGTCCCATATCCATACCTACCACGTCTGCTATGCCAGATAGCCTATGGACAGATGTAATCACAGAGATACCGGCCCCTAACTCCCTCCCCTTCACTCCAACCATACCTCTCCCCACCTCTCCCGTTCACAGTATGGAACAAAGTGATGTTAGTCATTCAGGACACGTCAAGCCAGCTGCCACTGAGACAGAGACATCGCTCCCGGAGAGTTCAAAGGCGAATGTGCTGCAGCCTTCCATGGAGGTTCAAAGACATTTATTAATGCGGGAGGGCACAAGGCCCAGACCACTGTCTCTGTCAGTCCCTACTGATGCCGCTACAGCTCTGACACCTGTCCTTGAGAAAACACACCTCTCTTTCTCTGACAAACACCACAGTGACCTGGTTTTGAGGAATCAATTAAGTTCCTTCTTGACTAACGCTCATCCTGTGGATGGTAGGCTAGCCACTATGGTTCCCAGTGAGAGTATTGCCTCTGAGTCAGGTAGCCAGAGTGAGGGGATAAGGTTATATTCACCTCTGGCTCTGGAGCCATCGTCATATATGTACATATATGTGTCAGACAGTTTGTTGGGCAGCTCAGAGGGGCATGAGGGCTTTAATCCACTCAGTTCTAATCTGAGAAGTTCGTCATGTACATCTCACCTATCTGTCACTCCTATCACAGAGCAACCACACCACCAGGCCCTCCTCCCAGCCACCATGACAGACGAATGGACTTCCTCTCAGTCCTCACCTCCTAATACAATCTCCCCAAGCAGACAGGAGTGGATGGATGTATTGCCCACCAAGTTCAGCATGGTCTCTCTCAGCTCTGACCTCCTGTCTGAGACAGACTTGCCAGAGCAGCTTCATATCACCACGGTTACTGAATGGGAAAGTGCAGATGGGATGGCGAGACACTCGGCTCGACAGAAAGGAGAGGAAGTCCACATGTCATCCATAAGTGGCTCGTCCTCCTCTCCATCGCTGATCTCGCTCTTCCGCCCCAGCACGCAGAGCGAGCCATCTGTAGCCAAGCTTGGACACCATGGGACCTCACACATCAATGATGATGGATCTGAATATCTCTCCCAGACCAGCCTCCTCCTCTGCTCCTCCCTGCTAGCCCCCTCTCCTCCTCTGGCTCTGCCAACGCCACTCATCAGCAGTACAGCATCAGAATATGGCAGTGTCGTTACCCATGAACCCCAGCGGCAGGCTTATATGCATGAATTAGGCTGGCCACATCCGGTCAGCGGTCTTGGCAGTGTGATTCACACAGACACACACACCCCAGTGTCTGAGCTGCTCTCCACCGTGACCTCCAGGGCAGATCAGCTCATGTCAGATTCTTCTGAATCTCTCTTATTCCATAGACCGATGACAACAAACCCTCCTCGTATTGGAGAGAGACCACTCCCCGCCCCTACCCCCACCCCCTTTCCCCCCCATATCCCCCCTCTGAGGGGGACATTGTCTGCTGGAGCGGCCAACATGGTTGATTCGGGAGCTGGCGCCTCACTGCCCACCCGTCCAACGGCTGCATTCCAACAATCCTCCACACTCATTGGCAGCCAATCAGAGCCCACTCAGCCTGCTGGAATTGACAGAACACTGGCCTGGCCCGGAGAGAGCAGAGAGAGCACAGCATCACCCGCTGCCCCAGACACACAGCTCACTGCTGCTGCCTCCAGTAACCTCACCATTAGTGCTGCAAGTATACAGCCCACTGTTTTCCTAAATATCCAGTCCACCTCTACTTCCACCAGCCAGCCTCCTACGGCCTTAAACGCCTACCCTGCTGGGGCTGGCCCTGTGTCAGTCCCCTGGAGGGCCAACCACAGTGAGGACACACAGGGTGATAAACATGGACCGGCCCTCATTGATCACACACCCTCCACTGCTGCAAGCACGTCAGTAAGCAGTGTGGGCCCTGGCAACAATGTGACTGTGAATCAGAACACCAACATATACCGAGAGACCGAGACACAGACAACTCCCAATCCACTAGCCGTCATTGGCATGGATGAGCAGTCTTTTGTAGCCACAAAGAGCCCCTACTTGCCTCTTACCACTCCACATAGAGTGTTAAATGCAGGCAGTGGCACAGTGTCCACCCCACGGACCTCAGCGGGCACCGCGGGCACCCCTGTTATTGCCCCATGCCAATGTAAAGCTCGCTTTCATTTATCATGTCTGTGTGGACTTTCAACCGGGAACAGTATGTTTTGCAATAACAAAGTAGATGTAGAAACAAAAAGAGAGAAAGCCTCTCGATCACCTAATCTCTGCTTTGAATGCTACTGTAGTAGTGGTGGGATGAGGTTGATAAAGTCTAATCTGGTGAAAATGGGGTGTCCTGTTGGAGGAGGTTGATGATTGAGGTTGTGTTGTGATTTTGGATGGGGCATAGAACATTAACTTAGGCATGTACAGTAGTTGACCAATCACTGAGCTCTATAGAGGCCTCTGCTCGGCTGATGGGGCTGCTGCTACCTTCCCTCATGGGGCGCAGCTCTCCTCTTGTGATTTTAAGTTTCAAACATTCCTGTTTCTTGGGAGACTTCTAATGCTGTTATCATTTGATTTTAGAGCAAATAACTGCTAATCTAAATGTAACCTGATATTGCTATAATATAGCAAGTCAAAGAAAAATAACACTCTTGATCAACAAAGATAAACAATATATATATTGGATACTTCAAAACATTCTGAGGTGGCCTTCCTTCCTGATCTGCAATCACTGGAGTCTCTTAAGAACAGTATTGGCATGGAGTAGAAACAGCATCGTACTGTAGCTAGTTCAGCACTAACAACAGGAGAGGCTTGGGAGCCATCTTGTGATGGCTGTGAGGCATAGCAGCAGATCATCATCACAATCAAACAGTGATGTACCACACGTATATGCTCCACAGGATGTTGGTGGCACCTTAATTGGGGAGGACGGGCTTGTGATAATGGCTGAAGCGGAATAAGTGGAATGGGATCAAATACATCAAACACATGGCTTCCATGTGTTTGATGCCATTCCATTTGTTACGTTCCAGACATTATTATGAGCCGTCCTCCCCTCAGCAGCCTCCACTGATATGCTCTCATTTACAATCACCCATTTGGCCCCTGAATACACATCAGTCATATAATGCACTATGGCCTTTAGTTCCATTTTGATTACTGTCATCTAGGATGATAACAGAGTATTTTAATTTAGCCTTTTCCTGATAGAAACCCTCCCACATGTTTTATCTGTGTAGTAGCAGCCTTTCATCATCATTTGTCATATGAAATTGGATTTTAAATGACTAAATTATGTCTCAACCCCTGCACTCCTGCTATGCAGCACAGACAAATGTTCCATTAAGTGTTGTAAATGACCTGTGTCAAATATAGATTTAGTTTTTTTTTTCTGCTTTTCAATTGCAGAGGGTCTTTTCTACAGGATTTCCTTTGTTGTCAATGACAAGGAGGCCCAAGTAACAGAGTCTGATGTTGAGAAAACTGTTGCACAATGGGTAAGGCTTCTTGTCATGTTAAATTCCTCTTGTATCAAAGCATCAATAGAATACTAGATGAACTCAATGAATTGACTGATTTACTAATTAATTAACAGCTCAATCAAACATTCCAAAACTGGACACACGTGGTCTATGTCGATAATGTCAGGTAAGCAATTAGATATTTGTACCATCATAAAATGCACCTCTATGTCCATTCAATTTATTTTTCTTTAGAGTTGTATTACAGGTCAATAATGATGTCCACCCTAATTTGTTCATCTTGTTCCCAGTATCCAGCCTAACAGTGACTCACAGCTTAAGAGGAGTGTCAGTAAAAAGTAAGGCCAATATTTACTATGGTATACTGTAGTAGGTAGGGACAGGAGTTTTTCCTGACCCGTCACGTGACAAAAAAATAAAAGTAATTCAGTAGGCCTGCCTTTCCATGTGTGTTAAGTCTCCTGCTACTCCTCTTCCTCTTCCTCCTCTTCCTTCCCTGCTCCTCTTCCTTCCCCATTCCTCTTCTTCTTCCTTCTCCCCCCACCCCTCCTCCTCTTCCTTCCCCCTCCTCTTCCTTATCTCCTCCTCTTCCTTCCCCATTCCTCCTCTTCTTCCTTCTCCCCCACCCTGCCTCCTCTTCCTTCCCCCTCCTCTTCCTTCCTCCTCTTCCCCCTCCAGATACACCTGCCAGGCCCTGCTGGTCTACCAGACCACCACCAATGTGACCCTGGGAGAAGTAGCCATCTCCACCAGGATGGTGGGAAGCGGCCCTATCATTGGCAACGGACTGGAGCTAGACACTGTCGCCGTGCAGTCTGTCGGTAGGACATGATCTCACCCGGACCCACTTTAATCACCTCAATTCTTACTGCAGAAAGTGACTGGGGAAAAAACATGACACTCCCACAGCCCAGAGAAAAAAAATAAAATGTATGGTGCACAGTCGCACATCGGCTCTAAAGCACCTCCTAATTAGATTAGGTTTGAAATGTGAATGCCTCTAACGTTTCTCAACTTCCTCTTGTAGTCATTGGAAATTAATATATTGCTGATGTGCGGTGTTAACATTTATAAGTTGCATGGTTTTCTCTCTCTCTCTCAGAGAACTGCCCGGAGGAAACTCCCCTCCATTACATCTGGCCGGAGAGCAGACCAACGGTCACTCAGTATGTCCCCTGTTTCCCCAACAAAGACCAGAACACATCCAGAACATGGTGAGACTGACACAATCACTATATCAAACTATGTCCTATCTTTATACAAACAATCAGCAAATGTATTTTCATTTTCAGGAATTTTACTACACTCTTTTCCAGGGATATCAAAAGGATATCAATCTGCTTTTAAAAGTTCGAAGAACTTGACATGATTGATAGGCTGACATTGTATGCATGAACTTGTTTGAGGTAATTCATCTTGGATCAATCTTAAAATACTAGATCTGATTTTGTGTTTGTTTGTCCCCAGTGTGATCAGCCCCCTGAATTACACAGCATTTTGGGGTGCCCCAGACCTCAGTAATTGCACTGATATCGATTCCATCAATGTGTCAGCAGGTAGGGCCCCGACATCTTAACACTCTCTTAAATCACTTGAATGATTCCACAGCTGATAGAATCAAAACAGCTGCAAGAATGAATAATTGAGATATACAGTGGGGAAAAAAAGTATTTAGTCAGCCACCAATTGTGCAAGTTCTCCCACTTAAAAAGATTTCAGAGGCCTGTAATTTTCATCATAGGTACACGTCAACTATGACAGACAAATTGAGAAAAGAAAATCCAGAAAATCACATTGTAGGATTTTTAATGAATTTATTTGCAAATTATGGTGGAAAATAAGTATTTGGTCAACTACAAACAAGCAAGATTTCTGGCTCTCACAGACCTGTAACTTCTTCTTTAAGAGGCTCCTCTGTCCTCCACTCGTTACCTGTATTAATGGCACCTGTTTGAACTTGTTATCAGTATAAAAGACACCTGTCCACAACCTCAAACAGTCACACTCCAAACTCCACTATGGCCAAGACCAAAGAGCTGTCAAAGGACACCAGAAACAAAATTGTAGACCTGCACCAGGCTGGGAAGACTGAATCTGCAATAGGTAAGCAGCTTGGTTTGAAGAAATCAACTGTGGGAGCAATTATTAGGAAATGGAAGACATACAAGACCACTGATAATCTACCTCGATCTGGGGCTCCACGCAAGATCTCACCCCGTGGGGTCAAAATGATCACAAGAACGGTGAGCAATAATCCCAGAACCACACGGGGGGACCTAGTGAATGACCTGCAGAGAGCTGTGACCAAAGTAACAAAGCCTACCATCAGTAACACACTACACCGCCAGGGACTCAAATCATGCAGTGCCAGACGTGTCCCCCTGCTTAAGCCAGGCCCGTCTGAAGTTTGCTAGAGTGCATTTGGATGATCCAGAAGAGGATTGGGAGAATGTCATATGGTCAGATGAAACCAAAATATTACTTTTTGGTAAAAACTCAACTCGTCGTGTTTGGAGGACAAAGAATGCTGAGTTGCATCCAAAGAACACCATACCTACTGTGAAGCATGGGGGTGGAAACATCATGCTTTGGGGCTGTTTTTCTGCAAAGGGACCAGGACGACTGATCCGTGTAAAGGAAAGAATGAATGGGGCCATGTAGCGTGAGATTATGAGTGAAAACCTCCTTCCATCAGCAAGGGCATTGAAGATGAAACGTGGCTGGGTCTTTCAGCATGACAATGATCCCAAACACACCGCCCGGGCAACGAAGGAGTGGCTTCTTAAGAAGCATTTCAAGGTCCTGGAGTGGCCTAGCCAGTCTCCAGATCTCAACCCCATAGAAAATATTTGGAGGGAGTTGAAAGTCCGTGTTGCCCAGCGACAGCCCCAAAACATCACTGCTCTAGAGGAGATCTGCATGGAGGAATGGGCCAAAATACCAGCAACAGTGTGTGAAAACCTTGTGAAGACTTACAGAAAACGTTTGACCTGTGGCATTGCCAAAAAAGGGTATATAACAAAGTATTGAGAAACTTTTGTTATTGACCAAATACTTATTTTCCACCATAATTTGCAAATAAATTCATAAAAAATCCTACAATGTGATTTTCTGGAAAATACATTCTCATTTTGTCTGTCATAGTTGACGTGTACCTATGATGAAAATTACAGGCCTCTCTCATCTTTTTAAGTGGGAGAACTTGCACAATTGGTGGCTGACTAAATACTTTTTTTCCCCACTGTATTTGATCTCAACACGCTGCTCTTAGAGAGAAAGAGGGACAGAGATGCCCACTGAAATGCAGTTTTAGAGATAAAACGTGTTTACACCCTCACCATGGCAGAGAGTGGACAGTCAGCAGACAACTAATAATGATTATATATTGACAGCCGTCATCTAGTTGTTTACCTCTCTCCCTAACTTTCCCCAAACAGAGAATGCTGCCAAAGTTGCCGACCAGCTTGCTGACATCACCAACAACGAGCTCTCCACAGAGGAGGTGTCCAAGGTGGTGGACAAAGTGAAGGAGCTGGTCAATGTGGCCAAGATCAACGCCCCTCTGGCCACCACTGTATTGAACATCATCTCCAACGTGATGACCAGCTCTGTGTCAGCCCTGGCTGTAGCCTTAAAGAGGTAAGATACTTCTCCTCTTCTTTCCTTTCCTCCTCTTCCCCCTGTCTGCTCCCACTGCCGCTGTCTCTCCTCTCCTCAGAACCCACCTCTTACTGTGTCCAGCATGCTGGGAGTAAGCATAAATGAGTTATGACTATATCTCCCAGGTAGATGTACTGTATGTTGTCTTTGTGTGGTATCTTTGTACCAAAGTAAAGCACTGTGAGACCCTAGTGAAAGTCACTATCCAGTCCGTTGTGATTATTACTCCTAAATGTCTCTCTATCTGTGAGTAGGACATTGATGACGATGGACGAGCTGATTCAGAAGATAGAGTTTGATGGGCCTTCAGTGAGCATCACCTCTAAAAATCTGGCTCTGGGCATCTCAGCACTGAACCATAGCGAGTTCAACGGGACCTCCTTCAGTGCCTTCATGCAGCCCAACACCACAGACCTCCAGGTACTGACTAAACAGTTAGAGACAGTGTTATACAGAAGTGTTATACAGAAATCAGTATTATCTGCTGTACTGTACTGGACAGTGTAGTACTATATATCCAGGGACTCATTGCTCTGCTGTGCACAAAGTTCATAACATCCATACTTGCCAAGACGAGAGCTGAGGTTGTTGTTTCATTCACAGTCAATGTGCCCTGAGAGTAAATAGGGTATGTTATGCCCCACTCCTACTGTGTGTGAGCCAGTCCTACCAGTCAGGCAGGGCTTCCAGGAAAGCCTTCCTGTGGAAACTCTAGTTGTGTGTTAAAGGTGACTCGCAACCCATCAGGCCTGTTGAAGCCATTTAACATGAATGGCAGGATGTATATTTGTTTAAGTCATTAAGAGTATTTTCTGTACCCAGAACACCTTCACAACCTTGTGATTCACATGAACTGAGTGGGAGTCCTGTTATTCATCATAGAGTTAAGCAAACCTGATACAGCTGACTAACGTCGAGTCCATCACAGCTTTCCCTCTCACTTGATTTAATGTGTTTTACCCTATGCCCCTGCCATACGTGTCAATGCTGTGCCAATGCTGTGCCAATGCTGTGCCAGCAGAAAGGGCACGCTTTAATCATAAGCCACCTGTCCACCACAGAGGTTTGGCAATGACCTCCAGATGGTGCAGCAGGGGACTCATTATATATCATCATAATAATCAGCAGACCTCTGTCTACATTGGAAAATCAAATTCTGTCACATAGGATTGTTAATGGTAAAGTCAATGGTCTAACTAACTTCTCTCCCACCAGATTGACTTTGAGTCTAATCAGCTGAACCCCCTGGCTCAGGTCACACTGCCAGCTACTTTGCTCAAAAACCTAACCCTGACCGACGCTGAGACCGCTGCCATCTCCAGGATCAGCTTCATGTTCTTCAGCAAGACAGGACTATTCCAGGTTTATACCTCTTTTTGGTGGAATGTATCTGATTTAGTGTCTTTTCAGCATATAACAGTATGTTTTATTTTCTCACGCATCCTTTTCATGGATGGTGACTCATGTGTCTGGGATGTGAATCTATAGCTTTGAGTGACATTTCCAGGTTTACACCTCTTTTTGATGCAATTCAACAAATCTGGTGTGTCTGCTAGCATGTTGTGATTTATTTTCTTGCTTCCTACTAATGCATGGTGATTCGTATGCCTGGTATGTGAATCTATAGTTTTGAATGTTATGTGTTTATATTTCAAAATCAAACTTTTATTTTATCATTCTCAGGATAAACAGGACGGGCTGTCTCTTAACAGCTATGTTGTGGCCAGCAGTGTGGGCAATTACTCCATCAGTAACCTGCAGGATCCCGTGGAGATTGAGATTGTACACCTGAATTACCAGGTAGTCTACCCGCCCTCCTCCTCTCACCTCTATATGAAGAGTTTCATTCCAAAACGCTATATATCCATTTTCAGAAATGTTGGTAAATTAGCTTTTATTGTTTAAAGAAATTATTAAAGATATTGGTGTTTTTTCACTAGCTAGTCATGGCATGGGGTTGTTTAATGACAGATGTATTTGTTTAAAACCTATCACTTGATGGTTTCATTTCAGAGAGACAAATAATATTTTTGGGGGCAAAATGCTATATATCTGCCTCACTCTCAGAGGAATAAGTAGTACTGCTAGGCTTTGCACAGTCAAATGTAACAAATAACTACATTTTTAATAAAGAACTGTGCAAATGATACATTTGTGACATCCATATTTAAACCATTTCAATACAGTAATATGAGATCTGTATGCAAAACATTTACATTTGACATTTTAGTCATTTAGCAGATGCTCTTATCCAGAGCGACTTACAGTAAGTGCATTCATTTTAAGATAGCTATGTGAGACAACCACATATCACAGTCAAATATACAGGATACGGACATTCCATTCCAGCTAAACAATGGATATATAACGTTTAGAAAAAAATAAAAAAAAATTCATACACATAAAATCTAGGAATTATAAATTGGAGAACAGTAATACTTTACACACACATGAAGGTACCCATAAGCAAGCATTTTGGATGAAAAAAACACAAATGTGATTTTTTGGGGGATATAGCGTTTCGGAAATAAATGTCATATACTCTGTTCCTTTCTCCTCTGTTTGTTTCTCTCCAGTCCCCCTGTTTTCTACTTTTTCTTCTCCCTCTCTTCTTTTTTTCTAATTCGACTTAGGTAAAAACATTTTGTCTGTAACCACTCAGTTGATGATTGTTGATACCTGATGGTAGTTCAACAGTTAAAGTCGTAAGTACAATACAGATAAACGCCTGGAACGTCTGCCTGTAATCAGACAGTGATTGTGTCTTTCAGCCAATGCCAAAGCCAACCTGCATGTTCTGGGATTTTACCATAAAAAGTAAGTCGGAACAAAAACAAATATTTTGATTGTTGAAATATACACTGAGTGTACAAAGCATTAAGAACACCTTCCTAATATTGAGTTGCAACCGCCCGGTTTTGCCCTCAGAACACCCTCAATTTGTCGGGGCATGGACTCTACAAGGTGTCGAAAGCGTTCCACAGGGATGCAGGCCCATGTTGACTCCAATGCTTCCAACAGTTGTGTCAAGTTGGCTGGATGTCCTTTGGGTGGTGGACCTTTCTTGATACACACTGGAAACTGTTGAGCATGAAAAACCCATCAGTGTTGCAGTTCTTGACACAAACCGGTGCGCCTGGCACCTTCTACCATACCTCATTGAATGGCAATTAAATATTTTGTCTTGCCCATTCACCCTCTGACACAATGAATGTCACAATTAAAAATCATTATTTAACCTGTCTCCTCCCCTTCATCTACATTGATTCAAGTGGATTTAACAAGTGACATCAGTAAGGGATCATAGCTTTCACCTGGATTCACCTGGTCAGGCTATGTCATGAAAAGAGCATAATGTTTTGTACACTCAGAGTATGTCAATCTCAATTTAAGTTGAAGCCTCACAATTGTAGAATATACTAGAGAGTTCATCTTTGTCTCCACAAGATGGTTCAGGTGGCTGGAACAGTAACGGCTGCAGGGTTAGTCCCATGTCCAATGGAAACAAGACTATCTGCCTCTGTGACCATCTTACACACTTTGGCATCCTAATGGTAAGACTTGTGTTCACATTAAACCAGTTGGAGACTCTTTCCCATTATAAGGGTCTCTGCAAGTCTAACTTGACTTGATTGTTTGGTGAATACCTTTATTTTCTGTATTCTCTGTGAAGGATATCTCTGGATCTGCTGCACAGATTGATGAGAAAAACACCAAGATTCTCACCTTCATCACTTACATCGGATGTGGCATATCGGCCATCTTCTCTGCTGTAACGCTTCTGACTTATATCGCCTTTGAGTGAGTATATTACCATTTTGGACAACTCCAACATGTGACCAGGAAATACTCCTATAACTAGTCTTATGAATTCTTCCTGTCTACATCAGGTGGACTATTGGTCCTAGTCATTGGCCATGATATTATAACAAAGACAACCAGATCTGTAGTAGTCAGACAGTGTTATTCAGTGTCTGTCCTCTCTACAGGAAGTTACGTCGTGACTACCCGTCCAAGATCCTGATGAACCTGAGCACGTCGCTGCTCTTCCTCAACATGGTGTTCCTATTGGATGGCTGGCTGGCCTCCTTCGAAATGGAAGACCTGTGTGTGGCTGTGGCCATCTTCCTCCACTTCTTCCTGCTCACATCCTTTACCTGGATGGGCCTCGAGTCCATCCACATGTACATTGCCCTGGTCAAAGTCTTCAACACCTACATCCGGAGGTACATTCTCAAGTTCTGCATCGTCGGCTGGGGTAAGTGGCACTAAAGTTGGATAAACTAATTACTATGCAGTATGCTGGCTGTGTCCAATACCAAATTGCTATTAAAATGCAAATGCATGGGATGCATTATTCACGGTATACACTGAATTTTAAACTTAATTTGTACCTAGTGTTGCAAAACTACCGGTAATTTACTAATCTATGGTAACTTTGGTAATGTATACTTGAAAATAGCCTAATTAATGAAAAAAGCATCTAATCAACAATGAGTCGTTCCACCACAAAAAGCACAAGAAAGAGGATATCGACACCCACCATCTCAGACTGTTCTTAAACCGTTTCTGTAGTTAGAAACAGATAAGATTATAATTCCTGAAACATTATTTTGTTGAAAGACAATTGAACCCAAATTGGTCATTTCAATTAATAGGATTAATCTAAAATTCTATAAATATAGTACCCAATATCCGATTTGGACCAAACCTCTTTTGAACAGTAATTAAGACGTGAGGAATCCAAATAAATTGTCAAAAGCCACCCACGGACCCTCCAAATGCGACATCCCACACCAAGCCCACCCCAACGGCCAGTTACAGTATTCCAACTATTGACTTTTTTCACAACTGCCACCAATTTGGTGCCAAAACATTTACAACAAAGACATATTGACATTATAAAAAAGTTAACGTGTGTAAAAATAATATAAAGGATATTTCATGCTGAAACCCTCATATTAAACACCAATGGTATTCACTTAGTTGATGGTTTATATCTAGGATAATGTTTTACAGCTTTGTCAGTTATTTTAAATAAGATGTCCAGAGATAATTACAGATACCTGTGATAATCTAAAGTACCCAAAAAGGCTGCTAGATGTCATGTGATACAATAAAAAATAATAATTGAAAGTTACCAAAATTCTGGTAGTTTACTGGTAAACTTTGAAAGTTACCAGTAATATACCCTCCCATTGCAACCCTATATATACCTGAATGTGTCTCACTTCCAGGTCTGCCAGCTGCGATAGTTGCTACAGTGGTAGCTATTGACAAAAACTCCTATGGGAAAAGGGAGTATGGAAAGGGGGATACTGGACAAGGCTCTTCTGAATTGTAAGTCCTGCATCAAGTTCAAGAGATATGAAAGAAGACATTCTGTATGTAGATTGAGTCTTAGACTTGAGTAATCCAAGTTTATGTCTTCCCATATGGCAGTCATAGGACCAGGACTAGATACTATAGTGCATAATGTATGTAATATACACTACCAGTCTATACTCTACTCATTCAAGGGTTTTTCTTTATTTTTACTATTTTTTACATTGTAGAATAACAGTGAAGAGATCAAAACTATGAAATAACACATATAGAATCATGTAGTAACCAAAAAAGTGTTAAACAAATCAAAATATATTTTATATTTGAGATTCTTCAAATAGCCACCCTTTGCCTTTATGACAGCTTTGCACACTCTTGGCATTCTCTCAACCAGCTTCATGAGTTAGTCACCTAGAATGCATTTCAATTAACAGGTGTGCCTTGTTAAAAGGTAATCTGTGGAATTTATTTCCTTCTTAATGCGTTTGAGCCAATCAGTTGTGGTGTGACAAAGTGTGTGGGGGGGGGGGGGGGGGGGGGGGGACATGAAGGTCAGTCAATACGGAAATTTCAAGAACTTTGAAAGTTTCTTCAAGTGCCGTTGCAAAAACTATCAAGCGCTACGATGAAACTGGCTCTCATGAGAACCACCACAGGAATGGAAGACCCAGAGTTACAGTGGGGGAAAAAAGTATTTAGTCAGCCACCAATTGTGCAAGTTCTCCCACTTAAAAAGATATACAGTGGGGAAAAAAAGTATTTAGTCAGCCACCAATTGTGCAAGTTCTCCCACTTAAAAAGATGAGAGAGGCCTGTAATTTTCATCATAGGTACACATCAACTATGACAGACAAAATGAGGGAAAAAAAATCCAGAAAATCACATTGTAGGATTTTTAACGAATTTATTTGCAAATTATGGTGGAAAATAAGTATTTGGTCACCTACAAACAAGCAAGATTTCTGGCTCTCACAGACCTGTAACTTCTTCTTTAAGAGGCTCCTCTGTCCTCCACTCGTTACCTGTATTAATGGCACCTGTTTGAACTTGTTATCAGTATAAAAGACACCTGTCCACAACCTCAAACAGTCACACTCCAAACTCCACTATGGCCAAGACCAAAGAGCTGTCAAAGGACACCAGAAACAAAATTGTAGACCTGCACCAGGCTGGGAAGACTGAATCTGCAATAGGTAAGCAGCTTGGTTTGAAGAAATCAACTGTGGGAGCAATTATTAGGAAATGGAAGACATACAAGACCACTGATAATCTCCCTCGATCTGGGGCTCCACGCAAGATCTCACCCTGTGGGGTCAAAATGATCACAAGAACGGTGAGCAAAAATCCTAGAACCACACGGGGGGACCTAGTGAATGACCTGCAGAGAGCTGGGACCAAAGTAACAAAGCCTACCATCAGTAACACACTACGCCGCCAGGGACTCAAATCCTGCAGTGCGAGACGTGTCCCCCTGCTTAAGCCAGTACATGTCCAGGCCCGTCTGAAGTTTGCTAGAGTGCATTTGGATGATCCAGCAGAGGATTGGGAGAATGTCATATGGTCAGATGAAACCAAAATATAACTTTTTGGTAAAAACTTAACTCGTCGTGTTTGGAGGACAAAGAATGCTGAGTTGCATCCAAAGAACACCATACCTACTGTGAAGCATGGGGGTGGAAACATCATGCTTTGGGGCTGTTTTTCTGCAAAGGGACCAGGACGACTGAACCGTGTAAAGGAAAGAATGAATGGGGCCATGTATCGTGAGATTTTGAGTGAAAACCTCCTTCCATCAGCAAGGGCATTGAAGATGAAACGTGGCTGGGTCTTTCAGCATGACAATGATCCCAAACACACCGCCCGGGCAACGAAGGAGTGGCTTCGTAAGAAGCATTTCAAGGTCCTGCAGTGGCCTAGCCAGTCTCCAGATCTCAACCCCATAGAAAATCTTTGGAGGGAGTTGAAAGTCTGTGTTGCCCAGCGACAGCCCCAAAACATCACTGCTCTAGAGGAGATCTGCATGGAGGAATGGGCCAAAATACCAGCAACAGTGTGTGAACACCTTGTGAAGACTTATAGAAAACGTTTGACCTGTGTCATTGCCAACAAAGGGTTTATAACAAAGAGATGGGAAACTTTTGTTATTGACCAAATACTTATTTTCCACCATAATTTGCAAATAAATTCATAAAAAATCCTACAATGTGATTTTCTGGAATTTTTTTCCTCATTTTGTCTGTCATAGTTGACGTGTACCTATGATGAAAATTACAGGCCTCTCTCATCTTTTTAAGTGGGAGAACTTGCACAATTGGTGGCTGACTAAATACTTTTTTCCCCCACTGTAATAAATAATAATATGCCATTTAGCAGACGCTTTTATCCAAAGCGACTTACAGTCATGCGTGCATACATTTTTTGTGTATGGGTGGTCCCGGGGATCGAACCCACTACCTTGGCGTTACAAGCGCCGTGCTCTACCAGCTGAGCTACAGAGGACCACTAGGATGAGAGAGGCCTGTAATTTTCATCATAGGTACACGTCAACTATGACAGACAAATTGAGAAAAAAAAATCCAGAAAATCACATTGTAGGATTTTTTATGAATTTATTTGCAAATTATGGTGGAAAATAAGTATTTGGTCACCTACAAACAAGCAAGATTTCTGGCTCTCACAGACCTGTAACTTCTTCTTTAAGAGGCTCCTCTGTCCTCCACTCGTTACCTGTATTAATGGCACCTGTTTGAACTTGTTATCAGTATAAAAGACACCTGTCCACAACCTCAAACAGTCACACTCCAAGCTCCACTATGGCCAAGACCAAAGAGCTGTCAAAGTACACCAGACACAAAATTGTAGACCTGCACCAGGCTGGGAAGACTGAATCTGCAATAGGTAAGCAGCTTGGTTTGAAGAAATCAACTGTGGGAGCAATTATTAGGAAATGGAAGACATACAAGACCACTGATAATCTCCCTCGATCTGGGGCTCCACGCAAGATCTCACCCCGTGGGGTCAAAATGATCACAAGAACGGTGAACAAAAATCCCAGAACCACACGGGGGGACCTAGTGAATGACCTGCAGAGAGCTGGGACCAAAGTAACAAAGCCTACCATCAGTAACATACTACGCCGCCAGGGACTCAAATCCTGCAGTGCCAGACGTGTCCCCCTGCTTAAGCCAGTACATGTCCAGGCCCGTCTGAAGTTTGCTAGAGTGCATTTGGATGATCCAGAAGAGGATTGGGAGAATGTCATATGGTCAGATGAAACCAAAATATAACTTTTTGGTAAAAACTCAACTCGTCGTGTTTGGAGGACAAAGAATGCTGAGTTGCATCCAAAGAACACCATACCTACTGTGAAGCATGGGGGTGGAAACATCATGCTTTGGGGCTGTTTTTCTGCAAAAGGACCAGGACGACTGATCCGTGGAAAGGAAAGAATGAATGGGGCCATGTATCGTGAGATTTTGAGTGAAAATCTCCTTCCATCAGCAAGGGCATTGAAGATGAAACGTGGCTGGGTCTTTCAGCATGACAATGATCCCAAACACACTGCCCGGGCAACGAAGGAGTGGCTTCGTAAGAAGCATTTCAAGGTCCTGGAGTGGCCTAGCCAGTCTCTAGATCTCAACCCCATAGAAAATCTTTGGAGGGAGTTGAAAGTCTGTGTTGCCCAGCGACAGCCCCAAAACATCACTGCTCTAGAGGAGATCTGCATGGAGGAATGGGCCAAAATACCAGCAACAGTGTGTGAAAACCTTGTGAAGACTTACAGAAAACGTTTGACCTGTGTCATTGCCAACAAAGGGTATATAACAAAGTATTGAGAAACTTTTGTTATTGACCAAATACTTATTTTCCACCATAATTTGCAAATAAATTCATAAAAAATCCTACAATGTGATTTTCTGGAAAATAAATTCTCATTTTGTCTGTCATAGTTGACGTGTACCTACGATGAAAATTACAGGCCTCTCTCATCTTTTTAAGTGGGAGAACTTGCACAATTGGTGGCTGACTAAATACTTTTTTCCCCCACTGTACCTCTGCTGCAGAGGATAAGTTCATTAGAGTTACCAGCCTCTGAAATTGCAGCCCAAATAAATGCTTCACAGAGTTCAAGACACAGACACATCTCAACATCAACTGTTCAGAGGGGACTGTGTGAATCAGGCCTTCATGGTCCAATTGCTGCAAAGAAACCACTACTAAAGGACACCAATAAAAAGAGACCTGCTTGGGCCAAGAGACGCGTGTGGGTGAACGGATGATCTCCGCATGTGTAGTTCCCACCGTAAAGCATGGAGGAGGAGATGTTATGGTGTGGGGGTGCTTTGCTGGTGACACTGTCTGTGATTTATTTAGAATTCAAGGCACACTTAACCAGCATTGCTACCACAGCATTCTGCAACGATACACCACCCATCTTGTTTGGACTATCATTTGTTTTTCAACAGGACAATGACCCAACACACCTCCAGGCTGTCAAACTGGAAACCACATATCCTGAGGCAGCATTTATTGTAGCTGGGGATTTTAACAAAGCAAATTTGAGGACTAGGCTGCCAAAGTTCTATCAACATATTGACTGCAGTACTCGCGCTGCTAAAACACTAGACCACTGTTATTAGAACTTCCGGGATGCTTACAAGGCCCTCCCCCGCCCTCCTTTCGGAAAATCTGACCACGACTCCATTTTGCTTCTCCCTTCCTATAGGCAGAAACTCAAACAGGAAGTACCCGTGCTAAGGACTATCCAACGCTGGTCTGACCAATCGTAATCCACGCTTCAGAATTGTTTTGATCACGCGGACTGGGATATGTTCTGGGTAGCTTGCGAAAATAATTTTGATGAATACACTGATATGGTAACTGAGTTTATCAGGAAGTGTATAGGAGATGTCGTACCCACTGTGACTATTAAAACCTACCATAACCAGAAACTGTGGATAGATGGCAGCATTCGCACGAAACTGAAAGCACCAGCCACCGCATTTAACCATGACAAGTTGACTAGGAATATGGCAGAATACAAACAGTGTAGTTATTCATCAAGGCAATCAAACAAGCAAAACGTCAGTGTAGAGACAAAGTGGAGTCACAATTCAACGGCTCAGACACGAGACGTATGTGGCAGGGTCTACAGACAATCCCGGACTACAAAAAGAAAACCAGCCACATCACCAAGACCGACGTCTTGCTTCCGGACAAGCTAAACACTTTCTTCGCATGCTTTGAGGATAACACAGTGCCACCGACGCGGCCCACTACCAAGGACTGTGGGCTCTCCTTCACCCTCGCAAGGCTGCCGGACCAGACGGCATCTCTAGCCACTTTCTCAGAGCATGCGCAGACCAGCTGGCTGGTGTGTTTACTGGCATATTCATTCTCTCCCTCCCTATCCCAGTCTGCTGTCCCCAAATGCTTCAAGATGGCCACCATTGTTCCTGTACCCAAGAAAGCAAAGGTAACTGAACTAAATTACTATCACCCCATAGCACTCACCTCTGTCATCATGAAGTGCTTTGAGAGACTAGTCAAGGATCATATCACCTCTACCTTACCTGCCACCCTAGACCCACTTCAGTTTGCCTACAGCCCCTAAGATTCACAGACGATGCAATCGCCATCACTCTGCACACAGCCCTATCCTATCTGGACAAGAAGGAATACCTATGTATGAATGCTGTTTATTGACTATAGCTCAGCATTCAACACCATAGTACCCTCCAAGCTCATCATTAAGCTCGAAGCCCTGGGTCTGAACCCCGCCCTGTGCAACTGGGTCCTGGACTTCCTGATGGGCCGCCCCCAGGTGGTGAAGGTAGGAAACAACACCTCCACTTCGCTGATCCTCAACACTGGGGCTCCACAAGGGTGCGTGCTCAGCCCACTCCTGTACTCCCTGTTCACCCATGACTGTGTGGCCAAGCACGCCTCCAACTCAATCATGAAGCTTGCAGACGACACAACAGTAATAGGCTTGATTACCAACAATGATGAGACAGCCTACAGGGAGGAGGTGAGGGCTCTGGGAGTGTGGTGCCAGGAAAATAACCTCTCACTCAACGTCAACAAAACAAAGGAGATGATCGTGGACTTCAGGAAACAGCAGAAGGTGCACCCCCCTATCCATATTGACGGGACCGCAGTGGAGAAGGTGGAAAGCTTCAAGTTCCTTGGCGTACACAACACTGACAAACTGAAATGGACCACCCACACAGACAGTGTGGTGAAGAAGGCGCAACAGAGCCTCTTCAACCTTAGGAGGCTAAAGAAATTTGGCTTGGCACCTAAAACCCTCACAAACTTTTACAGATGCACAATTGAGAGCATCCTGTCGGCCTGTATCACCGCCTGATACGGCACCTGCACCACCTGCAACCGCAAGGCTCTCCAGAGGGTAGTGTGGTCTGCCCAACGCATTACCGGGGGCAAACTACCCGCCCTCCAGGACACATTTTACATTACATTTTAGTCATTTAGCAGACGCTCTTATCCAGAGCGACTTACAGTTAGTGAGTGCATACATTCTTTTTTTCTTTTTCATACTGGACCCCGTGGGAAGCGAACCCACAACCCTGGCGTTGCTCCACCAACTGAGCTACATCCCTGCCGGCCATTCCCTCCCCTACCCTGGACGACGCTGGGCCAATTGTGAGACTAAAAAACAGCTTCTATCTCAAGGCCATCAGACTGTTAAACAGCCATCACTAGCACATTAGAGGCTGCTGCCTATAGACATATACTAGAAATCACTGGCCACTTAAAGAAATGGAACACTAGCCACTTTAATAATGTTTACATATCTTTCATTACTCATCTCATATATATTTACTGTATTCTATACTATTCTACAGTATTTTTGTCACTTTAATCATTTTTACATATCTTGCATTAGTAAGGACAAACGCTTGGAGACGAGAAGCAAGTACAGGGAGTGAACATTTAATGAAAAACCAGACAGGAACAAAACACAGACAGCGTCTGTATAACGGAAACTAAACAACATTGATGCCGACACGGGGATCAAATTGAGGAACAGATGGATATAGGGACGGTAACCAAGCAGTGATGATGTTCAGGTGGTGACAGGTGTCCGTAATGATGGGCAGCCTGGCGCCCTCGACCGCCAGGGAGGGGGAGCGGGAGCAGGCGTGACAGTACCCCCCCCCCCTTAGGCATCCCACCTGGGCAAGCCTGACGGGCCGGCCGAGGCTTGGGAGCCGAACGAGCTTGCCGAGGCGCGGGAACCTGTCGAGCCTGACGGGCCGGCTGAGGCATGGGAGTCTCACGAGCCGGCCAAGGAGCGGGAACCTGTCGAGCCTGACAGACCGGACGAGGCATGGGAGTCTCACGAGCCGGCCGAGGAGCGGGAACCTGTTGAGCCGGCCGAGGCGTGGGAGCCTGATGAGCCGGCTGAGGCGTGGAAGCCTGACGAGCCGGCCGAGGCGTGGATGCCTAACGAGCCGGCTGAGGCATGACGTGGGGTGGGAGCCTGCCGACCCCTCTGAGGCATGGGAGCCTGACGAGCCCGCTGAGGCATATGAACCTGACGAGCCCGCTGAGGCATGGGAGCCTGACGAGTCCGCTGAGGCATGGAAGCCTGACGAGTCCGCTGAGGTATGGGAGCCTGACGAGCCCGCTGAGGCATGGGAGCCTGACGAGCCAGCTGAGGCATGACGTGGGATGGCAGCCTGCCGAGCCAACCGAGGCAAGAAAACCGCTCAAGCCAGCTAAGGCATGGAAGCCTGATGAGCCAGCTGAGGCATCCCCGGTTCCTTCGGCAGCGGCACCCAGACCCGACGTCACCAATCCAAAGGAAAAAACAAAAAACTTCCCTGATGCGTCTGATATTGGTGTCTGCATTAATGTTGTTTCATTTACGTTGTCCAGACACTGTCAGTGTTTTGTTCCTGTCTGGTTTTTCAATAAATGTTCACTCCCTGTACTTGCTTCCCGTCTCCCAGCGTCTGTCCTTACAGCATTACTCATCTCATATGTATATACTGTATTCTATACTATTCTACTGTATCTTAGTCCATGTCGCTCTGACATCGCTTGTCCATATATGTATATATGTATATATTCTTAATTCATTCCTTTCTTAGATTTGTGTGTATTGGGTATATGTTGAAATAGTTAGATATTACTCGCTAGATATTACTGCACTGTCGGAGCTAGAAGCACAAGCATTTCACTACACCCGCAATAACATCTGCTAAACACCTATATGTGACCAATAACATTTGATTTGTAAGGGATATTTTACCAAAAAGGAGAGTGATGGAGTGCTGCATCAGATAACCTGGCCTCCACAATCCCCCAACCTCAACCCAATTGAGATGGTTTGGGATGAGTCGGACGGCAGAGTGAAGGAAAAGCAGCCAACAAGTGCTCAGCATATGTGGGAACTCTTTCAAGACTGTTGGAAAAGCATTCCAGGTGAAGCTGGTTGAGAGAATGTCAAGAGTGTGCAAAGCTGTCATCAAGGCAAAGGGTGGCTATTTGAAGAATCTCATATATAAGATATATTTTGATTTGTTTAACACTTTCTTGGTTACTACATGATTCCATATGTGTTATTTCATAGTTCTGATGTCTTCACTATTATTCTAAAATGTAGAAAATAGTAAAAATAAAGAAAAACCCTTGAATGAGTAGGTGTGTCCAAACTTTTGACTGGTACTGTATGTGATATTGGTCCAGCCTTCTGGCTAAAACATGTAAGTTAACCAACGGCAACCAATTTTACTAATTTCCCTTCTCCTCCCCACCTCCTCCCCTACTCCCAGCTGTTGGATCCGGAGCAATTTGGTGTTCTATGTGACATGTGTGGGCTACTTCTCTGTCGTCTTCCTCCTGAACGTGGCCATGTTCATCGTGGTTATGATCCAGATCTGTGGTCGTAACGGGAAGCGTAGCAACCGCACGCTGCGTGATGAGGTGCTGAGGAACCTGAGGAGCGTCATCAGTCTCACCTTCCTCCTGGGCATGACCTGGGGCTTCGCCTTCTTCGCCTGGGGACCCGTCAACCTGGCCTTCATGTACCTCTTCTCCATCTTCAACTCACTGCAAGGTACAGGGCCCCCCCATGGTGCGCTGTGCACCCAAAGGAGAATACACAGTAGTATTGGTTACTAATATGTGAATGTTTGGCTCAAAGGTGTATTTTTGTATGTGTTTATTTTTAAACTCTTGTAAGAAGCAGGTCTTTAATGTATTATATGTTAAGAACACGGGAGGTTGGTGGCATCTTAATTGGGGAGGACGGGCTTGTGGTAATGGCTGGAGCGGAATAGGTGGAATGGTATCGAATTCATAATGCCATTCCATTAGCTCCGTTCCAGACATTATTATGAGCTGTCCTCCCCTAAGCAGCCTCCTGTGGTTAACAGTAATAAGTTATCTCCTCACTGTCATGTCATATGCTATTTGTTCCACCAGAGGTCTCCTTGGTACAACATCTGGTAACTGAAAGATGAACCAAACTTGCTCTCTTTTATTTGTCATCTCTGTCATCTTCATTGTTATTAAACAGCCTTTTCCTCCATTGTTCTTTTCTGGCCAATAGGTTTATTCATATTCATATTCCACTGTGCATTGAAAGAGAATGTCCAGAAACAGTGGAGGAGATACTTGTGTTGTGGCAGATTCCGCCTGGCAGACAACTCAGGTAAAGATCTGACAAGAAACAGACAACAAAGAGGCTTCTCCCTCTCAGGAAAAATATCTGGCCTGATATTCAGAACAGCTATCACACTACTATCATAACCGTTTTTAGGATGAGAGGGGTGAAGTTGCTGTACTTGTACATTGCTAATAAAAGTCCTATGTGATTGTGATAAAGATTATAAGATACAAATCTTATTAAAATATTTTCAGTTGACATTTATATTGAATCTTGTCTAATGTAAATAGAATTCCTATTGAAGTGAAAGTCACTGTAATATACGCTAGTACATATCTGCACAGGAGTCCAGTAAAAGTGCCCTGTGGACTCACTCCGGACTTCCACAGTAACAAAGAAAATGTGTTATTAAAGTATAAAACCTGAGAGGTCTTAGCTTTATACGCAATCAAATATGATACACAGAAACTCCATAAAACCCTGAAGTAACAAAGATCACTTCACTCTTAATTTTGCCTGAATAAGTATGTGTGAAATGTGTCTTGTTGCATGGCAGACTGGAGCAAGACAGCCACTAACAACACCAAGAAGGTCAGCTCAGACACTGTGGGGAAGTCCCTGTCCTCCAGCTCCTTTGGCTCCAGTACAGCAAACTGGACTTCCAAGGCCAAAGCAACTCTAAATCCCTTTGCAAAGCGCAACAGTAATGCAGGTAAGACACCATGGGAGGGTCTAATATTGAGCCATACACAGCTTTTTGTTTACTTTCAGTTGGTCTGTTTCATTGAACCACATTTCGTTCATACAAAAGTTTACTTTTTGTAGTTATGAAAAGAAGGATCGTTTACATTACTTTTTTCCACCTTCATTTTTAATAACAAAAAAATATATGTCTACAAGGACTGTGTGAAACATTTATTTTCTTGCTTTTATGTGTACAATAGTTATTCCTGGGCTACATGGTGGTTGATCTCCTGTATGTATTTATGTTTGTGGTGTGTAGATGTAGCCCACCAATAGCACGAAGGAGAACCTCCTGAGGTAAACTGAACTGCATCAAAGCTAGCCTGACTCCATGCTTCCTTACAGTGTGACGTGATGTTGTGTTATTGGCCTTTTGCCTTTAGAACATGAAGGCCTGGATTCAACCTAACAGATGTTGGTTGCACTTTTCCTTAACACTGGTGTGTCTAACAGAACAATAAAAAATGTAACCGTTTAAAACAGAAATATTGTGTTGACATCTTGGAATTAACACAAAAATTGGCATGTGTGCATTTGGTTTCGATGCCAAATGCTACCTTTGATGGTTAGATTGAATCCAGATTGAATGGTGACATGAAGACCCTGTAAGACAAAGAGCTCTATTCTGTCATTGTTCTCTCTAAAGTCATTGAAAAACATTTCAAAGATAACATGCTATAACAACTTACAGCAAAATAATAACATTAATGTTTAACTTGGTTTAAACATGGACATGAAGTAATATAAATACAGTTGTAATAATATCATCTGACCAATGAGAGAGTTTGGCAGATGAGCTCCTTTGCCTTCTTCTCAGTGGTTCTGGATGTCACTCTCACTCACTCATACCACACTAATTCTGCTCCCCTAGGATGTCTCTGTTTTCTGCTAGCAGCAACGATACCACAGTAAAACACACTGCTTGCATTTCAGCACTCAACTGTCACATGGAAAATTGTAGACGTGTGTGTGTGTGCATCCCTGAATGGAGATAGTGCTATCACCCTCACCTATACTTTACAACCAAATGCACAATTCAAGCATGATGTTTGTGCCTTATTACATGTTTATACACAGATCTTGTGATAATAATATGGTGAATTACCTTGGCTCCCTGAAGATTTGGGTTGCGCCCTTCATTATTTAGCGCATGTAAAAACCCGGTATGTACCGACCGTACTCAGGCACTATAGTACGTATGGAAATGGTTAAGATGAAGGTATAGACATTAAGACATGCAGCAAAGTGTTGCAACATGTTCTTATCATTAGGGTCTTCATTTCACGGAGATCTCAGGTAAGGTGAAATATAATTTGTCAGCAGACATGGATACTCCTCCTCTCACTATTCCTTTGCCTCTCTGAGGTAGGCCACGGCTTCAAGAGAAAATCATTGAGCATCCGTGTCAGGCGTGCAGTGCAGTACACTCTCCTATTGCTTCCAGATGTGTGCCTTGGAGATAATCTGCAATTTACTCTGTGATATTGTCATATTGGACTGATCCAACGATTAATGGCATCCCCCGGCTAATAGACTAATCTAGTCTGACAGAGCCTATAAAGCAGTGGCTGAGAAACGAAGGTGATCGTGCGTGAAGCACACTGCCAACAAGAGGTGGCCTCCAATACCTTACTTGACATAGCAGTTCAGGGATTTAGCAGAATAAACTTTGTTTTATTGTGTACACAATTTAAGGATGACCTTACATTACTTTATCATGAACACATGTGCAATGTGAGGACTAATGAGTGTATGAGATAAGTTGATAACTGGTTTGGTGAAAGAAACAGTTTTGTAGGATCAAAGTGAATAACTAGTGATTAACGTGTGATCGTGATTATAGCTGTTAATCACTCAAACTGAAAACAGACATACATATAGTCTCATGTTTCTGACTTCACTCTCGATAAGTCAGGCTTTTTCCCATACATGGTGAGTGTACAGTGGGGTGAGGAGGCAGCCAGCGGTTCTGTCACTAAAGATGCCAAAGTCTTTGCATTGCAAAGCCTGTGTTCTGTGCTTAATTGACCCACTCAAGTCATTCTTTTCAAAACCGCGATGGATGTTTTAGCCCTGACATTATCAAATGGCAAAGACCAACCCAAATATATTATCACTTGGCAAACAAAACAAGAATAAGACAAAAACAGATGAAAACGGTTCAGACATGTTGGAAAGAAACAGTTATGCATAGTTGTCCATTGTGGTTGAATTTCAAGGTTGTTTGAATGTGCATGCATGTATAGGAATGAATTCCACAAGAATGCAGAGATGCATGAGAATTGTTCCTCAGAAAATATTGGGACTCAATTTAAACAGTAACTAGACATAAGCCTAAACCTCAAACCTTTTCTAAGCTAAAGAAACATCTTCGCAAAGCCTATGCATTAGAATTTTTGTAAATGAGTGCCACATATTCAACCTACAATCATAAATACACAATCATTGTATATAGATTTAGGGCCCAATTCAATCAGATCTGCTTTGGCCGACATCCGCATAGCTGATGTTTTGACAGTCTCGGAGGTGGAACTGCGTTAGAGCTGTCAAATCCACAAGCGGCTGCCGGCATTATACCTAAAGCGGACATTGCCATTGGCTACATGGAGTCACATTAAGAGAAATCTCATGAAGCCTTGTTTACAAGTTCGGACACTGAAATGTGAGATGTAATCTACTCCTTGATTAGGCTGATAGAAATCCTTATAAATTAGTTTAATGATTTTTCAATTTGAGACAAATTATTTCTATATAGCCTACACTTTCTCGTTCTGAACTTCTACCGCGAGTGGGCGGGTGTGGCTTCGTGACAATGATTGCAAGAGCAGCTGCAACAAGGTTCCACCTCCGACACAGCCAAAACATCCGCTATTTGGGTGTCTGCTATCGCCAGTTAACGCTTGATCTGATTGAATCTAGGCCTAAGATCTACTTTGTGTATGTGTTCAGTGATGTATTTTTTACTTGCTTATTTTTCAATTGTCTTTAGCCATTAGTTTTGTGTCATTGTGAGTTTAAGGAAAGAAAACAATGAAACATTGTACTATGCAGTATTGTTAAAGAGAACAAAGATCATTGTGTTGTTTCTGAACCATGACATTATCTCTCCTCACCTTTGGACAGGTAAAGGTTACTCCAACCAGACCAATCCTAAAAGTGTCTCCTCAGATGGCGAGGCCTCCTCCTCCTCCTCCTCCTCCTCCATCATCCCCGTGCACCAAGTCATTGACAAGGTCAAAGGTTACTGCTCGGTGCGCTCCGACAACTTCTACAAGAACATCATCATGTCGGACAGCTTCAGCCACAGCACCAAGTTCTAGACCACCCAGCACTTCTCTTCCTCCTCCTGCTTCTGCTGCTAGCTCCTAACCCCCAGTCCACAGTGTCACCCCAGGGTTGTAGCCTCCAGAGCAGCATGGCGGTACTGTGTTTACTGTACAATATTTGACTTAATCAGCTGGTCCAGTCAGTGAGATGTACTGAAAAGGGAAATGGAGAAATGCATAGTTCTGTAGAAAATGGGAGGGCTAAGCAGAGAATGGAGTTTGGGATTTACATACTGTGACTTTAATCTTTAACTGGCTATGTGTTGTGTAAATATTGATGGTATATCTAATACGCCCCCTATAATTGATTCTCAGTTGGTGTTGCACATGCCTTGGGTTCTCAGTATGGTCACCTTTCCTGTACAGAAATATCAACAATCTTTACTGTTCTGTTGTCATTTTGCAATCTGTAGAACTCCAGTATGAGCAGCAGGGAATATAAATCATCAAATCTGGACCAAATGTTCAGGCATAGGCCTATATTTCAAACCCAAAGACTGCCAAACATGAGGGAGTTTTTAAAAGCTGTAGCATTGTCAATGTGTGTTCAAAAGGGAACAGGTTGAGGTGTAGTTCTGATTTTAGTCGTCTATTTGTGAATCCTGTGTGTGTGTTTTTTTGCTGGAAAGCAATGTTATGTTCCTTTACAGTGCCTTGCATGAGGAGGTTTTGCATAAAGTGCTTACTTTTTTCTTGGTTAGCCTATCAACATCATCATCAAGACAATGTTTTATTTGTCATGTATATTTTTTTTAACCTTCAGATGCTCTACTACTGAATAACACATGCAGAAATGGTGTCTGGCATTGGTCCATTCACCACTACTTAATTTTGGTCACTTCGATTTAGGACAACCTCTGTGGGTGATCTGTATGTCAAGTGTAATTTAATCTGACTCTTCTATGGATAGAGGTTACCAGAGCCATGTATTTGGAATAAGTAAATGGCTGTAGAGGTTACAAAACCCGCAGCCATTAAACCTAGATTTGGTAAGATAGTTTCATAAACATTCCACATTTAATTATTCCACAATACAGCAACTCACAACATACAGTAATGATTGAAAAGGGACGACAAACACTGGCATTATTTGTTCATTTAAGTTAATGCCAACATTTTTAAATGGCAAAATGTTAATCTGCTCTTTAGTGTTGCCTTAGTTCACTTAATATGGTAGTCTTATTGTCCCACCAATAGGGGAACTGAATATATTGCATTATGTTAAATGTTGCTGTGTGAGCTATTGTTGTTTGTGTTTGTGAAGTGATGGAACAATGTTGTTTAAAAGTATCTTTATATTTATTTCTATAAAGCTTTTTGCATTTGTTGTTCCTCTTGAATCCCCAATGCCAGTTGATCAGGACTATGCCCCTGGATAGATAAATATACTGTTTTTGGAGAGATGAAGCTTGGTGGGAAAACAAAGCATTGATCTTGACCTTGGCAGGCGAACAGGGCCAGTTATGTTTTGGAGCAGTCAGTGCTCTCAACTGTTCTTTTCCAACATCAGGAAAATAATTTGAGCATCAATGAGAAATTCCCTTAGGGGCCAAATTTGTAATGATAGAAACATTGCTTCAAGAGGTAATCTGGTGTTTTAACAGATTTGGAGTCTTCAATTCAAGAATGTGTGGGGAGGGATTACAGTGGTTTGAGATAGTAAAATGGAGTTCTCATCTTTACAATGAATTGGAAAATGACTGCTGGCATCATCTTTATACATATTTGAATGAGATATCCCAAAATACAAATTTCCCAATATTCAAAAAGGTAATTATCAACCTCTATCAGGTAATGTTATTTGTTATAGGCTATTATTTAGAGGTGCACATTGTTCTATCAATGCAGAGGGAGTCCAGACATAATTTTTTCTGATTCATTTGTACATTTCCCTATTAATTGAATAATGTTTCCAGGACACAGAGCTAGGAAATTACGATGGTTAGATCCAAACCCATATTGTACTTAAGATGTATCACTCTGATTTAATATGGCTGGTCTGGGTCTGTTCGGAAACATTCTCCAAACCCTGTTATTAGTTTTTCCACAACTTTGTCAATAATATATTTTCTTGAAGCTGTCTCTGTATGTCTCAACACCATTGATGAATTGTGTTTCACCAATAAAGGGAATTAAAAGTACTGAAATGTACCAAAGGTGACTCTAGCTAATTGTTTTAATGATAACACTAATATTTGTCAAAGTTACCAGGTTAACTTGATGCAAGACATAACGACTAAATATCCCCCAAAAAACTCCCACGTTTTGTTGGTACTTTTTTGTCCTTTTTAATTAATTCCTTTCTCCCTTTACCCTTAATGTCTGCTCTTCTCTGCACAATCAATAGTCTTTACAATGTGGTTTACTCAGAAGATCCAATATGTGGTTTGGTGCATACAGTGAGGTCTAAAGGTATTTGGACAGTGATTTATTTTTTGTTGTTTTGGCTCTGTACTCCAGCACTTTGGACTTTAAATGATACAATGACTGAGGTTAAAGTGCAGACTGTCAGCTTTAATTTGAGGGTATTTTCATCCATATCGGGTGAACCGTTTAGAAATTACAGCACTTTTTCTACATAGTCCCCCCATTTTAGGGAACCAAAAGTATTTGGACAAATTCACTTATATGTGTATTAAAGTAGTCAAAGGTTTAGTGTTTGGTCCCATATTCCTGGCACACAATGACTACATCAAGCTTGTGACTACAAACTTGATGGATGCATTTAAAAAAAAAAATTGTTTTAGTCATTTAGCAGACGCTCTTATCCAGAGCGACTTACAGTTAGTGAGTGCATACATTTCTTTTTTTTTTTCGTACTTGCCCCCGGTGAGAATGGAACCCACAACCCTGGCGTTGCAAGCGCCATGCTCTACCAACTGAGCTACACGGTTGTTGGTTATTACATTATTTACCATTAATTTCTATTATGCACAAACTATTGTAATACACAACCAAAACAAACTGCAAATGCATCCAACAAGTGTGTAGAGTCATGACTACTTTGACAACTTTAACACACATATAAGTGAATTTGTCCCAATACTTTTGGTACCCTAAAATGGGGGGACTATGTACAAAAAGTGCTGTAAATTCACCCGATATGTATGAAAATACCCTCAAATTAAAGCTGACAGTCTGCACTTTAACCTCATAGTCATTGTATCATTTCAAATCCAAAGTGCTGGAGTACAGAGCCAAAACAACAACAAATGTGTCACTGTCACAATACTTTTGAAGTTTACTGTATGTGCTGGAAAGCAGAGGATGATATTCTAGTCATGCAGCAAGCAAGCCAGAAGTCAAAGAGGGAAACATAATGTTTAAAATCATTTTTCACACTCAAACATTGAAATTATATGGTTTCCCCTTCTTGACTGGAGTTGTTTTAATGCCACATAATCTGGTAAACCACAGTGCTTCAGACTTGGAGAGATGTCATGCCTCATCCCTGCCAACATTCACATGTCTGTTGTTTAGGAACTTCACTGTAATCGAAACTGACCTCACAATTTTGGCCAGAAGATTTCAGGCTTCACACCATTCTTGCTACGTTTGTCTCTTGCAAGCTTAGATGCCTCTGTCGTATTGTATTACATCAGATTGACAGACCATAACATTTACATAATATTATATAAGAAAAACAGAGGTGTCCTAAAGTAACATTTTATACTACAGGTATCCTATTTACAGCACATGTGGTATTGATGCTTGTTGTCTCTCAGACTTTTGTGTAGAGACATACTTCACAGAAAATGATACTATGAGCATCATCAAATGCATAGATGTGGCACTCATTTTCATTTGATCAACAACAACAACAAAATTACATACATATACTGCAAAACAATCACCTCAACCTAACCAACATCCCTTGGTACAGTGCATCTGTGTTTATAAAGTAAAGTTGTCACGACTTCCTCCGAAGCTTCCTCCTCTCCTTGTTCGGGCAGGCTTCGGCGTTCGTCGTCACCGGCCTTCTAGCCACTGCCGCTCCTCATCTCATCATTCCATTTGTTTTGTCTTGTTTTTTACACACACCTGGTTCATATCCCCTCATCAGTCCCTGTATAAGTATTCCTTCTACCCCCCCATGTCTTTGTGTGTGATTGTTTCCATGTGGAGGTGTCGATAGCTCGGTGGAGCTTTATGTACTGTATCGCCAGGATATTCACCCGTGTGTTTTGTTTTCTCCAGTGCGCCGTTATACCGCACTGTACTGTTTTACCCATTGCTGCGAACCGCTGTATTGGCAGAATAAACCATTTATTCTGTGATTTTCACCTCCTGCGCCTGACTCCGTCCAAATCACCCGCTACAAAAGTGCTATTTCCAGTACCGATTATTCCAGTCCTTTGGAAGCTGTGATGCTGAATTGTCTATTGTCAATCCAACCAAGTATCAAATATAACGGAACGTGTCCAGGCCAACATTTTAGATAGGATATTCCTCATCAGATGCTACAGTTTGATTTAGTGGCCAGTTTACTTTCAAAGCAATCATAGTTGGAGAGCGAAGGTTCTGTCCCCTTGGCCATGCCAGCCATGCTTATGATTTATGGCTTATATTTGCTCATTGCTGTGAACTGCAACTGACAGATCCATTAAAATCATTCCATCTGAGCATTTTGGCGTGGCATGTTTATGGTTATATTATTGAGTGCATCTAGAGAAAAAACATTACTGCAAATGCCTATCGTACAGATAAATAAACACTTTTGCAAGTGTTTTATACCATAAATACTACGTTCTTCATAATTTTTGCCCATATACTTCATTCAATGCGGTAGATTTGATAAGATAATTAACTTTCAAAATGATACATTTTAAATTCACTCCTCATTATATGCTAACTGTTGTTTTGGTTACAAACAACATGATGCCTGTGTCGTGTGTTTTTTTTGTATTTTTTTTATGGTGTTAGGCGGTTGATGCTTCAGGTCTGCTCTCAGCAGATGTGTGTTTGTCTGGTCCGGGATAACAGGGGTCAGGTGA